AGAAGCCACTGATAACAAGGGGATTTCCAGGGTTTAAGCCTTTTCGGGTCAACCCGAATAGAGTTGTGTCCAAATTGGAGCCCATGGGCTTGTCGAAACCAAATGGGGGCCCATGTGTTTGTAAGACTTTCACAAGGAGGGGCCCACCAATTCTGTAGGGAGGTTTCATATGGGCCCCACCCACCATGAGTATCTTTCACGCGAAGTTGGGTTCGGTTATTAAAGTGAAACCCGGAACCCGCCCTTTTTTTTTCTCTAACCGGCGTGCGAGGCTCCCTGCAAGTCCAAATACACGTGGCAGTTGGTTATAGGAGAGGAGGCATGTGGGGCCAGGTGTGCTGTGGGTCCTGAAGTTTGCGAGTGCTGTGGAAAGGTTTGGGTAGAGAACTTACGCAACATAACAACGGTGGTCCTTTATTCCTCTTTCAATCGGGAAGCTTACAAAAAAAAGGCCGTTGTGAGATTGAAAGACATTAGCCATTTGATAGAGACATATGTTACAATCTTATCTTGAGCCCTTTAGGTGGAGAGTGTCAATCAGTCGTCAAGACAAATGGAAACCCCAACTAAATACGAGAAGTTAACAAAGAAAATATTGTGTTTTTAAAAAGTATTATGGTTATAACATACGCTAAACGAATCAAAGTTAAAAATTTAATAAAGATGAAATGACGTAAAATCTGAATGACTTAGATACACAGTAGCATTAGCGGACAAACTAATTCATAGACTAGTACATATTTTGGCATATCATGAGCATGAGCTTAGGTAGGAATAAATTATGATACATATTTTTATCTTTCCTAAAGCAAATCATGGTCTAACTGTGTCATAATGAAGTTTAGATGGTCAACCACAAGACATGAGTACAATTTTGAGTCTTGAACCAGCTAAGACACATGTCTGAAATTTATAATTTGATCTCATAAGATTCTGAAAATAACAGAGTGACCCCAAATCAAACCACCGAACACATCAAAAGCAACACAAAAAGAAAATTATAATCCTTTTTTGACATGAACCGACCAAAAGAGAAGAGAGAAGAGCCAAAAATTCAAAGACCAACATAGATAAAGATCCTTTTTGATGAAGGGGTTGGCTGTACAAGGAGCTAGGCTAGCCCCACCTTTGGGGCACCATGTATGCTTTGCCTTGAAAAATTTGTTACCCTTCAAATGAATCCCACCTCCAAAACAAAAAACTCCTCCACTGTCCTATATCTTTTGTTTCTTGGCTTTCCTTTTCCTGTGGAAACGTGCCCCTGATACTGTTCATTAAAGAGAAAAAACGTGCATGCGGGAATATAAGATTAGGTCTCCACAAGATGCGTGCATCACAATATTTCACCTGTCTCTGCAAATAAAGCCAATTTCCTAGCCACTTCTATATATATATATATATATGTATATGTATATGTATATATCCATGTTTCTATGTTCTGTGAGTTCCTCATAACATGCCCTAGCTAGCTACTTCTCTAGCTCTTTTCTTCTCCCTCCCATGATAACCATGGTGGCTGCTTTTGAATTTGTCACATTAAGCATGAACGTTTTGGTTTTGGAAGTTCAATATTGGAAGCAATTTAAGCTTCTCTCTCAACTTCAAGAGATGAGTGTTTGTTCTTGGAGCTGCCATTTAAAGAAGTTTGAGGTCTCTCCTCCTCCTCCTCCTCCTCCAAGGCCAAGCATAGTGATGTAGGTGTCGATAGCATCGATCCATATTCACGGGGGAATGAAGCTCTCCTGGTCCGATCACCTTCTTTTTTCTGGGTTCCTTTCAGTTTTTAGTTCTTCTTATATATCTTTTTGGTTTTTGAGTATGTGCAGCAAATACCATGTTGCTGTCCTGCATGTTCTCATATTACCTTGTTCCTTGTAAGACTGTTTTTTTCTTTTTTGAAGACCTTTCCTATTGAGATGGGCGATATTGTAATATGTGTACTAAAACATCCAATATATATATGTTTTCGTAGTATGCAGATCGGATTTGGATTTTTTGTTATTATTATTTACTTCTGATGTTTATAATTCTTGGTAAAAATACGAAGTCCCTGAAGTCCAGAAGCCATTGAGTATGAAACTGTCAGGTTCTGAATGGGCTTATGCATTCTGCAATTCTGACTTATTAATTAGATAGACTTTAAAATCAACAAGTTGGATTTTTTTTTGTTAGACAAATAAACATACCTTATAGTTCTCCTTCTTGTTCTTCTTAATGGTTCTATCATCATTCTGTTGAGCTAGTGGTTCAGGAGATATCATTCAAATTATTACATAGCCTGCTTAAAGGAAAGGGCAACTGAGCTGTGGTTTTGTCATTTTTGTCACTGCTACTCTAATTTGGGTGACACTGTAGATGCATATGAAAATGGCATCTAAGCTTTGCCATCTTGAATATTTTTCATCCAATTTGGGGCAATTTGTCTGCTGTTATGCAGCATATATGTGCTGATTTACCACAATGGTTGGTGCTGCTGGCTCTCTCTTTTTTCTATGAAAATTTGACCAACTGTTGAATCTTTTTCCTTTTACACCCAACACACAAATTGAGCACAACTCAAAGACTGTATAGCAGCAGTGGCTGGCATATCCCAATAATGAGTACATTTTTCTTTTCTTTCAAATTCTTAAAATCATGAAAAGCATAGGTTGACTATGAGTTTGTTTTATGGTACTGGTCCCTGGGCAGATATAATTTCCAGCTATGAGATCTCATCTGTTAAAAACATGATAAAGCTTTCTTGAGTACCATAATCATTCATCTTTCTCTACTTTTTTTTATTTTATATATATATATATTTATATATATATATATATAATCAACAGAATGATGGTGAATGATATCATGAAATGTGTGGCCTTCCTATTTCCCCACCAATGTTAAATATGGGGAAAACTTTCACTTTGGCTGCAACCTTAGTTTCAAGTCTTACATGGATACCAAGTACCATATGGGGCTCTAAACTCATAAAAGTTAAATAGTTATAATGACTTTAGCTTAGCCTTCTCAGCCCCACACACACACACACTCTCTCTCTCTCTCTCTCTCTCTCTCTCTCTCTCTCTCTCTCTCTCTCTGTTAAAGTATGAACATGGAGGCAGAGCAAAGGAAAATTAACATAATATCTTTATTGGTGACAGTGTAAAAAACAAAACAAATCTCTTTATGAAAGCTTAATGTTAAAAAATTAACAGACACAATTGCCAAAAGGCTATAACTTCTTTCTCATGATTGTCCAGTTGTCCCTGAATTCCATCTTAAAACAATAGTATCTGTCAAAAACTGTCCAAAGTTCTTACTCATAGATCTCCATTGATTTCGACTCCAAAGATTTCCTTTAGCTTCTTTTTCTGTCAAGCTACTGATAGCCCATACCATGAACACCTTTAGCCCAGTCTAAGATTGGACCTCTTCATAATTTCCCAGTGATTCAGCCCAAACCCAAGCATTCTGTTGGACTAGTTGTGAAGACCTCCAAATGGTAAGGGCTCATCCCAAATAACCCAGAAAACCCAAATGGGATCTCCACTCATATTCTGATGCCATTAGTTCCTTTTCTCCTCTCTTTTTAGCTTTTGGGAAGTTCCTTCCCTGCAAAGCAAGCAAAACAGCCCCCTATTTATCACTAAACTAATGAGACACTAGTCTCTAATAATAATTATTAAAAAAAACAAAAAAACCCCTTTGATGGGTTTCAATCTTTTAGAACTTAGAGAACAAGTAAATATATATATGATATTGAGCTGTCTTTATAAGAAAATGCCCCACCACAATCTTTTCAGCTTTGTTGTTTGGCCCTTTTTCTAGGTGTAATGCACCGTCCTGGTCCAAGTCCATGCACCACTCCACCATCCTCCCACACTAAAGCAACTTTTTGTCCAACTTGTTATCGCATGCCTGCCTATCTCCTTCCTGGTTAGGTTGTCTGCTCTGGAAACTGATTCTTTCTTGTCACTCCATTTTGTTTTCCTAGCTTTTGCCTAAATCTTTGTCATTAAATTTAATCATGTCATTAGTTTCTATTTCTAGTCAGCTCATGAGTTCGAAAACCCCCCAACAAATTTGAGTGTAAGTAAAAAATAGTGCGAAGTGTTATTTTCAAGACCAACACGTGTTTGTAATTTGAGTGAGAAGTGTGATTGAAAGGCTCCTAATGTAAAAGCGAAATGCTTACAAACAAAGTAAAGTTGTTATCTTAATGAAAGTTCTTCTCATGAACATTTTCTAAATCATAGGTGGCATAATTAGTGTCTAAAATAAGAGGCACATTTGAAGCTAATATCTTACATTGGATTTGCTAACAGTCTATATACTTGTTTCTTTCCTTCTTCTTTAATCTTTCTTCCTTTAAAAAAAACAAAACAAAACTCAAATCTGACCAAATTTCCGCACGTCATTCACAGTCAGATAAAGGAGCCAAAGAAGATTGACATCAACATCTTTAGCTTCTTTCAAGACAGCCAAAAGCTTCCATGTGATGTAAAGAAAGGTATTTCACACGAGTCATATAAACCAAGTCCTTTTTTATTCCTTTTCTCTTCTCTTTTCTTTCGTGGTCTTTAAAAAATGTCATTAATTATTTGTATTCATGCTGCAAATACATGTCAATGCTCCATGGAAAACAAATATATAATTTTATATAAATAATACTGAAAATAAAATAAAATCATGTGTTCTCTGTACTTTGGCAAAAGATGACAATTGACAAGTAGTTCTGAAATTAACATGTACAATTATTTAATTGAAAAAAAAGAGAAAGCAATGATGTAATTAAATGGAAAAATTCCACGTGTCAGCTATGCATCAAACATCTTTTGTGTGTCGGGAAAGCTTTCAGTATCAGAGCAATATATGAGTGAGTAAGCAAAACATCACCACCCCCCTCATCAATCTGAAAGGTAGAAACTTTAAGCCTTTGATCCAAACCCATTTACCGTCCGGACGGTTTTTAACACTTCTGGCCGGAAAAAGCTGACTTGGGTCGCCGGAGAGTTGATTCCATGGACGTTGACTCGTGGGCTTCCAGGGTTCAAGCAGCCAAGAGCCTCTCTGCTGCCCATGCTGCTCGGCTTCACTATGGTACTAAGATTTCTTCATTTTTCAATTTTTATCTCTCATGTGTGCTTCAACATTCCTATTTAAAAAAAAATTGTTTCCCTTTTTAGTTTGTCAAGTTCTCTCTTTGTCTGGGTAGAGTTTTGGGAATTGAAGTAAGGGTAATTTACTATCTGATATCAGTTTCGTTTCGTTGATGTTTAAGTAAAGCAATGGCTTTTTTGAGAGTTATCAAGAACTGGGTTGGGCTTAAAGCTGAAAACTTGGTTGGATTTAAGAAAGAAATTGGCTTTCGATTCTTTGGTTTTCCTATAGTTTCTTGTCAAAGCAACACGCACATTGTTTTGAACTAATTGTTTTGTCAAACCGTACTGTGTTTTAAATGAACTACTTTGCTTGAATTTTCAAATGGGGAGCGTTCTCCTTGAAATTTATGGGTAATTTTGTTGTGGGCATTATCGGAAAATATCTTCTTTTAATTAATAAATAAAAGTCCGAATATTTTGGGATTTCATATCCTTCATGCTAGATTAGGCAATTTAAGAAAGTTGCTAGATACGTTTATAAAAGCTTTCCATGTGTGTAATATTACAGTAAAGATTCCCTATAAGAAGCAGGGCCATGGAGGAAGATTTTAGTGATAATTCGGGCCCTAATTTTCTTAGAATTAGGGTTGCCTAGAGACCATAGAACGAAGAAACTCCTTTGATTAAGAAGGTGGGGAAGTTATAATTATATTTGAGGCTAATAAACGCCCAAAAAAGAGATTAAGAGGATCTGTCCGCATGACAAATTATACTGAAGATGAAGAAGATGCAGAGGATGAAAATTATGAAGAGTTGGTGGATCAAGAGTCGGATCAGCTCAGTAGTTTAAATATAAAAATTTCGGAATATGAGGATTATCTGTATTATCTGGAGAACCTGAGAGAGCAGATATTGAAGGAAACAGAAGGCATTTTATCTGAGTCATTAGGTACTGGTTCCTTCACGCTTGAGAGTAAGTGGGAGCGTGATGCTTCTAGTCTTGTCATTCATGAAGGTGAAGATGATGATGATGATGGCGAGGAACCAGCTTACGGAATTAGTTGGAATGAAGGTGAGAAAATTAAGGTTTGAAAGAAAAACATATGGAGAAAAATTACAAATCCATCTTCAGATGGTTGCTGAACCTGGTTACTTCCTTTGCAGCTTATGGAGTTCATAGATAAGAAGATGAATGTATATTTGTTTAGGCTTTGCCTACTGTGTTCTTGGGCAAGAGTCGAGTGATGTCGGTCCATATTTAGTCACTAAACACGGCAAAGAGTTCATTTTAGTAGTTTCTTGTAGCCAGAGTAAGATCTGCGTGTTGGAGATAGCCTGGGGTGTCTCACTCTGATATATTTATTTACGTGTCTGTGTTTGTGTGCATGCGCCCTTATTTGCATTGTTGATCCTGTGATTTGGATATATTAATCGACATGTCTCTATGAATGTGTGTACATATATGTCCATCTATGTCATATATCTATGTATCGATCTTTTATTTTCTATATATGTTAAACAGATAATCATATGGCTTCGGAAGATTCTGAAGGAGATGACGATGCAAAATCTTGTTTTCCATGCCCTTTCTGTTATGTGGATGTTGAAGTCCCAATGCTCTGCAGCCACTTGGAGGAAGAACACTGCTTTGACTTTAAAAATGCAGTACGTGCTTTTCTTTACCAGATATTTTGTTGTGTGCGATTTAAATGAGATTAGCATTATCAAAATCATATTCTTGAGTCAATAATGAACCATCTAATCAAGATGGTTTCCATTTTGATTACAAAAAGGATGCCGCTTGAAATTGATAGATTTACTTGGTAAAGTGCATTGAATCATTTAGGGTAATGGTAAATGGGAAGGCCTTCCAAAATTTATAATATTATAAATAAGGGAAGACGCAATTGGAAAATATAAATTATTGCCACCAGTTTATGATGATTTCAGTTAGAATTTGAACCTGATGGCTGCTCTAATCCCGTTATTCCAGGTTTGTCCTATGTGTGCAGCGAATCTAGGGAAAGATGTAGTTGGACATTTTATGGTGCACCATGCAAGCTCCTTCAAGGTATATTTGCCTATATTGGATCATAGATTTACAATACAGTTAATTTAGTAAAAAAGTTTGTTGATCATGTTGGAACCTTAAAGGAGTCATCTGTGCTTTTCAGCACAGGAGAAAATCTCAAAAAACGGGTTTGTGGACTGGTAGTTCAGCAATGCTTGGAAAGGCGCTGCTGAAGAATGGAAGGGCATCTGCACATGAATCTGCACCTGATCCTCTCCTCTCACCATTTATCTGCAATATATCTTTTTCAGACCCTACTGGTATTCCAGAAGATATTTGTTCTGATATCAATGCCCCTATCACTTCCAGCTTGAAAAGGTATACTCTTGTTCTTTTATGAAAGTACAACTATAAGATATTAGTGGTTGTGACTTGTGAGTGGGAGATAAAGAAAGGGATTGTAAACTTAAGAGATCTTAGTTTAAAATGCATCAATGTATTATGGACCAGAGATGTAAATGCAAATGGGTCTTGCGAAAACCCAGGAATTTCATGATTTTATAAGGCAGAAAATAATTGTTGAAAGATTTGTTGTTTATATGCTTGCCAAAGAAACAATTTTTTTTTCCTAACCCTACGATATTTGGTATTTAAGCAAGCCTTACATTGCATCTAAATCTGCTCTTCATTGAAAGTTTCAAATTCTTGAAGATATCTTGATTTTGGGAATCCCTTGAAGTATTTATTTCTTTAAGCCTAAGTTATCCAAATGATAATTGCATCATCTTTTCTCTTGTTGTCTGTGTTTGTTTCGTAACCACTTATATAATCTTTTACTTTCACTGATTCTAAAACCAATGAATACTATATAGCTTCACTTTGTTTGCTCGTATTGGAACTTTTACTTGTGAGTTTGTTATCATTCTAGATGTTTGGTTGATGCCTTAACTGCATATATTTGAAAAGTTGCCTAATCATCTGAGAATTATGGGATAGTGCTTTTTATGTTAATCTGGGCTCTGTACTTTGTGCTTTTGAAATGTGATGCTATCTTCTTTTCCAACCTACTTCCTTTTTCCCTAAAAGTTAAGGACAATTAATTGCCATCACGCCAGTTAAGCAGTTTTCAGCGGGATAGATGAAGATAAATAGGAAACAGGAAACCCTGCCAATATCTGCATAGTTTTATCTCTTCACTGATATGACATGCAAAATCGGTGTTGTTATCCAATAGATCGAACCTTGCTGTTTCCCACCTGTTTCAACAAGATGGAGTACTAGATAGTTTCATTTAAGCTTCAGAGTTTTTCACTTAGTTTTACCTCCATGTTTGCGATTGAGTGGGCCAAGTTACTACTTGTTATTGGTGCTCCGTCGGGTAAACCAGGAATGTGAATGAACCATCTATGTGTTATTCATTCCCTTTATTACTCTTGCATTGCCCTCCATTTTTGCTTTGTTGGGTAGAGTCCTCACTTGCATGAATCAGCTGCAAGTTCTACTGGTTTCAGTGACTGGTCTTTAGATATGTGATATGTCAAATAATTTATCTTGGTGAGGGTTATGCGAAAAATACATGCTTTATGAGAATAGGCCTGTTGATGCCCTGTTGCTGATACATTTTGTCTATGCAGTGCTAAGTCATCTTCACCAGATGAAGGCTGTGAAAAGGATAAAGAAGAGCGAAGGCAGAGAGCGGCTTTTGTGCAACAGTTGATTACATCAACCGTATTCTTGGATCTATGAATTCTTCAAAGCACTAAATTTTCTGGAAAAAGCAGAAGACTGATCTTAACTTGGTCACCAAGATCATGCAGTATACACAGTGGGGAATGGTTTTAGGAAGTCAACCGTTTCTATATTAGGTAAGATATAGAGTAATTGTCTTTGGATGGGGACAATTAGGGAAATATGTATACATTGTGTACAATCTATCCTTATGTCTATTTATATCAACAGCCTGTTTCAAAGGCTGACTTTCCATAATGAGTAAGACTTAGCGGATAAAGTATCTATTTATCTATACATGACTACCGAAATTTTGTTGACTACTTTTCAGGCAATGTCGTGAACATACTTTCCGAAGTTATTCACAAATTGTGTGGTACGAGAATACCGTCACGGGGTATAATTAATTAAGGTACTATAATATGAATAGGAATAAGTTCTTAATTTTGGGTGTGGTATTAATATTCAACATTAATTAGTTATATCGCGTTTGTATATTTGGATTGGAAATGCCCAAATCAGTTAATGCATTGATTGTTGGAGTATTAACCAGACCGAATTGGGATCAAATATGGAGTGCAAATCCTTTTTCATTTTTTGCTACCAAGTCAAACTTGGAGTCGTAATTTATTTTATCTGTTGTTCTTCATGCAATAATAGCTCTCGTTTGCCGAATCAAATATTAAAATTTAAAAAAGCTCTTTCACCCAAAAAAAAAGAAAAAGAAAAAAAAAGTGTCATATGCAAGTTTCAATATCTTGATTTCACAAGAAATGCCTTGTGTAAACAAAGAGCACGTCCAGAGAATTGTATCTGTGCTGAATAATAACACTCTCAAGTTCACCAAATTCAAGAATTAGAGCTAGAGCTAGGAAACCAGAGGCAAAAACATGGCAAACAAGCAAATTCCGCAGGTTCAATTTGAACAAATCAAATGAAGCATTGAGGAGAATTCACGTCGACAGGCAGTGCCCGATCTCATTTTTATGCCAGTGAAAACGTTTCTGATAATAGGTTCAACCAAAGTCACGTTGAATCATCATAAGCATATCATTCAACTAGGCTAGAAACAAGAGCGGAGCACATGGTGATGAACCTACAAAATATATAACATTTGATTGTGGAAATTGCTTAAAATGTCAAAACTAAATAAAATCAAATTGAGTTCAAGTTTGACACCACCAAAAAAAAAGATTGAAGAGCATTTACTGCCAAGAAAGCCCTTCTTTCTATCACTCAATTATGGATTGAATAACACCAGCTCCGACAGTCTTCCCTCCTTCTCTGATAGCAAACCTCATTCCTTGCTCACAAGCCACGGGAACTATGAGCTCGACAACAATCTTGACACGGTCGCCAGGCATGACCATCTTGGACTCTTCATCCTTATCATTCATTATGGAAGTCACCTTTCCAGTGACATCAGTAGTCCTCATGTAAAACTGTGGCCTATAACCTGAGAAAAACGGTGAATGCCTGCCACCCTCTTCCTTCTTCAAAACATACACAATTGCTTCAAACTTGGTATGTGGGGTAATCGTCCCGGGCTTAGCCAAAACCATCCCTCTTTGAATATCAATCTTCTGTATCCCTCTAAGCAACAACCCCACATTGTCACCAGCCATAGCATCATCAAGAATTTTCTGAAACATTTCAACACCAGTCACAGTGGTGCTCCTTGTGTCCTTCAAACCAACAATGTCCACTGTATCTCCAACCTTAATAGTACCCCTTTCAACACGGCCAGTGGCCACAGTCCCACGACCGGTAATCGAAAACACATCTTCGATTGCTAACAAAAATGGCAACTCAGTCTGGCGCTGAGGAATTGGAATATAGCTATCAACAGAATCCATAAGTTCATAAATCTTATCAACCCATTCATTCTCACCACGAGTGATAGTAGGCTTGGCCATCAAAGCCTCCAAAGCTAACAAAGCAGACCCAGAAATAATAGGAACTTCATCACCAGGAAACTCATAAGAAGAAAGTAACTCACGCACCTCCAATTCCACAAGCTGCAGAAGCTCCTCATCATCAACCTGGTCTTGTTTGTTCAAGAACACAACCATGTTAGGCACACCCACTTGCTTGGCCAGCAAGATGTGTTCTTTGGTTTGTGGCATTGGCCCATCAGCACCAGAAACCACAAGAATCGCACCGTCCATCTGAGCAGCTCCAGTGATCATGTTCTTGACATAATCTGCGTGGCCGGGGCAGTCAACGTGGGCGTAGTGCCGATTCTCAGTCTCGTACTCGACTGTGGCAGTGTTAATGGTGATTCCACGAGCGCGCTCTTCTGGGGCGGCGTCGATTTCGTCGTACTTCTTGGAAGCGCTGCCTCCAATGGAGGCCAAGGCCATGGTGAGAGCTGCAGTGAGAGTGGTCTTGCCGTGGTCGACGTGGCCGATTGTGCCGATGTTGACATGGGGCTTCTTGCGCTCGAACTTACCTCGAGCAGCTTTGACTGTGAAACTGCGGTGGTGGTGGTGGTGGTGGTGGAGGGGGAGAGTGGTGGTGGGCGTGAGGTGGAGGATGGTGGAGGGGTTGAGGAAGGAAGAGGAGAGATGGGTTAGCTTGGAAGAAGGTCTAATGGAGATAGAGGAGGCCGGTGAAGGCGGAGAGGACTGAGAGGCATATGAGTAAGTGAGCTTTGAGGAAGCTGAGGCTGCTGCTGCTGTTGAAATTGCCATGGAAGATTCAAGATTGAATCTTTAGAGAGAGAGAGAGGAAGAGAGGGAGAAGATAGAGATGGGGATTGGGTGTTGGGGTTTTGGGATAATGAAGGAGGAGGAGAGGACTGAAGAGGGGGAGTGGTGAGAGGAGGAGTGATATGTATGTTATCCTTTCGAAGACAAAACAGGGCCTCATATGGGTGGTCTATCCATTTCCCAGCCTCAGAGTTTTGGAGGGATTAGTCTCGTCGGTTACAGGTGGAAATTTGAGAGTTTATGTGCAACCTGTGTTATATGCTCACACGTGTATAGCCCTCCTTCCTCTGATTTAGGACCAAAAGGGTTGTGGGTTTTACCAACCTATTCTTGCCCAATTAACATGTAATTAGTTTAGCCATTTTAACACTCATTTACACTCACATATTCACATAGTCAATGAGTCCAGTGGAAGAGGCCTTACTTGCAGACTAGTGATCTTAGATTCAAATTCTCATGACATCTTGGTAGTGTATGTGAGAGAACCTCTCTCTTCCTTCCTAACTCTGACAAAAAATAAAATAAAAATCACATTGTTAGTATATAGGAATTCTAAAAACACTCGAATTTAAGTGTCAAAAGTTAAACCATGAGTGCAAAATCGTTACTACTTATGTCTACTTAATTTTGGAAAAACTATTTCTGACTTCAGTAGTAGAACACTTATTGATTCTGACACTTATCAAATTATACTCATGGAAAGAATTTAAGTCTTTAGTTAATTATAAAGAACTTGTAGCTCAAGTAAGTAGTGCTTGAATTGAAACTTCAAATGTTTTTCAAATGGTTTTCAGGATTCAATGCAGTGCTATTTCTGGTTGTTAGTGAGAGTCGGTCTAGTCAACAGAGTTATAGAACCCAATTGGGAGCACTTAAAACTCAAATATCTCCGAGAGGTTAAGCATGAAGCTGGTTGGTTGTGGCTCAGAAGTATGAAATCGACTGATTGTGATTTGTGTTGATGGTGGCAACCCAGAAAGCCAGACTCACTTTGTGACACGTAATTGATTCAAATACCTTAATTTTTGTGAAACACCGTGGAGTCAACTTCTACCATACAAAAATGTTTTCATGAGCAAAGTACCTCAAATTTGGTTGGTGAAAACATTTTGGAACGCAGGAAAACTAGGTTCAATTATCAATGTCATGTTGTGATTATTATCCAATGCAACAATAACCCCAAGCAGGCCACAACAATAACTCAACCACCAGTTAATCGTCCCTTTTCAAGAGAACAAATAAGTAAAACCAACAAAAAAGAATTTATAATTAATTTTCACATTTGCTCAAGATACACTGACGTGCTCAGAAGCAAGAAAGTAAAAGAATTATCTGTACAGGTATAAACTCCATATTTTGTTGACCCCGTATTCAGTATAAGTAGGTAGCACGTTGATCTGTAGGCATCATTTCGACTTGTCAGACCGACGTCTTACCTCAGCAGAAACAAATCATTCGTGGGAGTTCATGTACCGGATCCTCAGGGCTTCAGGGGTCACTCTAAAAGCTGATCTAGATGACAAGCATGATTGTCCTCCAGGCTATGACTTGCAGCATCTATATTACAAATCTCTCTCTCAATATCCATCCAGCTGCATAAAATACAGCTACTAGGTCATGCTCCCCAACTTTACCAAAGTATAAAACATCCCTGTGATTTCTATTATCTGTCACCCGCAAAACTAGTGAATAATCTATATATCAAGCACTGGAATTGGAGACATGACAGGGCCAAGAAAAGCTGAATGTGCAAATTGCTTGGTTTAGCAGTCTGCCTCATAAAGCATTTTGTAGTCCGGAATCTTTATCTTACATATATCTAAAACCTTTTGACAGAAAACTGGGGGTAGTTCCTTCAATACGTCTGATATTGCTAATTCATGCTTCCTCTTGAGCTCGTCTAACTCCTTTTTCTGTTCTACCAATAGATTCTCAAGTTTCTCGGCAAAGATCTTGACTTCTTCTGATTCAAATGGATGAGCTCCATTAATAACATGTAGATCAGTAGCTGCACTATGACCAGCACCATTTGGTGAATCAGAGGCACCAGCACAAGTTGGATCATCTTCCTCTCTAAGGCTACCAAGAGATTTTTCATCATCCTCAGTACCACCATTTGGTGAATCAGAGGCACCTCTGCCGTTTGGATCGTCTTCCTCTCTATGGCTACCAGGAGAATTTTCATTGTCTTCAGTACCTCCTGCAATGACCGAATCTGCTGGAGAATGCAAGTTCGAAAACCCATGCTTACCTGGAGAATTTCCACTACCTTCCTTGGGTGAGTCAGACCAGTACTTGCGACCTGAAGGCAATCTTTCTAATGCAAGATTACTAGAAAGGACGGCCTCATGTACCAAGGCAGAAGCATCATCCTTAGACTCAGAAACTGGGCTATATGGAGTTGAGACCTCACCATCAATATTATCTCCAGAAATTTCACTGGATGTCCAATCTGGAATGTGGGATTGGATTTCAGCGTCAATAATTTCAGCAATTGTTGTGACATCTTGATCTGTTAGGTCCAACTCTTGAACCATTTCACTAGCAACAGCAATTGCAGTATCTGCCCCAATGTCAAATGGGAAGTGGATATTTCGAAAGTGACCTGGGGCCGGGTGGAAAATATCTCAATTTAAGAGCAGGAACCGGAATTAAAAAATACTTCTTTGACTGAAAATTAAATAAAATGGAAAAGAAAGAAAAGGTAACCTGTCGAATCTGCTATTCGCAGTTTCAGAAATATTGTGTCGTCTTTCCTCTGGCCTTGCACAGTGAAGTCTTTATTTGTCTCAGGAGAAGGGTCCATATCCTTTGGTCCAATATCAATCTGATCAGAACTGCCTTCTGCATCTAACATGTCCCAATGTGAGGAGAATAAGATAAAAAGCCTTTGAGCTCTAGAGAAACAACTTGTTTACCTGAATAATGAGTTTCGGGTTGTAGAGAACGAGATGTACTTTCACGATCCTGATCAGATTGGAGAAAAGGATCCATTAGAAGTTCCTTGGCAGACAAACGATCAGAGACTTTCGTAATGCACTTTTCTATAAATGCTTTAACTCCGGGATCTGTCACTTTCGCCAATGATGCTGGCTTTATTCCCTACCCAAACGGAAGAGGAAATGATATAGGGACCATGTTAGAATATAAAATAAGCGTTGGCCACAATCCTAACAACTTACAGTGGCAAACTAACAAAACTTAAGCTGATCCCAGAATAAGCAATGTTGAGTTCGAATTCCTATAATTGCAACCTTTCAGGGTTGTTTGTATAATTATCCCTAGAATTTCAAGCATTAACTCATATCAAAAAGCCAAATGGGAAATTACATACATTTTTGACAACTGAAATTTGACACACTAGTGTAGAAAAATTTGCAGACTGAATGTACATGTATAAAACTACCCCAACACTTTAAATATATAGAAATTCACAATACTGAATGAATTTTCAATCCCAGCGCTTCAAAATCCACTACAATTTAAGCCAGATAGTAGGTCTAGTGAGACTAGCAAAACAACTGAACCATGCATGACAAAATCAAAAGAGACGAATCATTCATCACAATCAAAAGAAATGAATGATGCATCACATATGGAAAAATTACATTATCTACAACAATTGAGAGTCTGACAGATCCGGTCAGCACATGTTGAAACTTTCAAAATGATATAAGTTTCAAGGACGAGAAATGCTCTCAATTATGATAGCAAAAACAAACCAACAACAAATTTAACGGAACAATAGAAATTGTGTATCAATTTAAACGGGGTAATGGTCATGAAGCCCTTACTGATGTCACTTTCTTGAATATTTGAGCAGCATTGTTACATTCAACATATGGATACTCAAAGGTCACCAATTCTAACAAGCACATGCCAAAGGCATAAATGTCTACTAGCTCATTGTATTCCTCTTCATAAAGCTCTGGCGCCATAAACTCCGGAGTACCTAAAGTGACAGATACAATTACATTGTCAGCTCTGAATCCAAATATTCTGCACTATCACCATTGCAGAAGGAAAACATAGATGACAATTTTATTTATAAATCCTCACCGATAACACTATGAGCTGAGCGAGCCTGGCGAAGAATAGCAGCCAGTCCTAAGTCACCAATTTTCACCTCACCTTGGTTCCCATTGACAAAAATGTTGTCACACTTCAAATCTCGATGGATAACAGGGGGGTCATGATTATGAAGATACCAAAGGCCTTCTAAAATCTGCCTAGACCATTTCTTCAACGCCCTCAAATCAACATGCTTATGCTTTCTCCGGTATCTACATTGTAATAGACACTAAAACACTAAACAAAAGCATAAATAAATTACAAATATTGAATGTTACAGACAATAGATCACTGAAAACTCACTGCCGCAATGTTCCTGAAGTGAAGATCTCCGTAATAAAGTTGATATTCTCATGCTTGGCATCGACCCACGAATTGTAAAACTTAATTATGTTCTTGTGCTTTAAAGTCTTAAGCAAATGAACTTCTGAATAAAGCCGCTCTAAATCTTCAGAGTTGCGTAATAGATCTGCCACTTTAACCTGATTCCAAGCTACTTCTATTCCTTCCAATTCATCAAATGCTCGATATCTAAGTTTCCATATCGATCAAGGACACACAAAAAAGATCTACAACACACTTGGACCTCAACAGAATATTAACTAACAATGGTTCAAACAGCATTTAGCATCCAACTAAAAATCTAAAACAACTGAAAAATAAAAAAGAGGAGGGAAAGGATACACTTTCTTGAAAGCCCCTTTTCCTAGAATCTCTTTATACTGCAAATGACCAAAAACAAAGAGAATTGATTACTGATACACAGAACCAACAAATCAACCCAAATGACAACCTGATGAACAAAAGCTTAAGACTTGAGAGCATTGAGAAATTTCAAAACAAATGAGAGTGGAGCAGCTAAATCAAATCAATGAACACCATACCAAACAAATAAAAAGAAGGAAATAAATGGAAAAAGGAAAAAGGAGAGTAATTTAAGTAACGACTACTGACCCGACCGTATCGACCAGTGGGATCAACCTCCACAAACTCGGCATCAGCATCGTCCGTGTCTTGGTCCGACGACAAATCCTGTGGCATTCTCGAGAACTCGTTCGTCTTCCAATCAAATCTAACTCAGAAACGCAAAAATGATCGTATTCGGATCGACCCAAAACCTCAATTTCGTCGTTAAGGACCGAATCAAATATTGAACCGACTACTACATAATCAAAAAAAAAAAAAAAAAAAAAAAAAAAAAAAAAAAAATTCGACCCAATCCAAGATCCTTTAATTCAAAGCGCGAAACCCGAAAGGACCCGGAAGGTTTCAAGTATGAAGAAGAAGAAGATAGAGAAGCGTGCGTTTGCGGAAGTGAGAAAGGAGGAGAGAAGCCGTTGGATTGGCAGAGACACAGCAAATGAACAACAAACAACTGAGCGTCGTCTCTCTCGGCTTTAAATTTATTTATATTTTTTTTCTTCTTCTGAATTTTGGGTTTAAAAGGTCTGCTTTGGGGTCATGTGAGAGTAAATGTGCTACGCGCGTTTCTTCAGCTTACTTCCGCACCTTAAATTGCTATTAGGATCTTCCAACGTAGATTCTTCCTAATCAGGATCCAACGGCTGAAAAACTTTAGAATATGATCGGATTAAATTCTACAATTTTCCTACCAACAATTAAATTCTAAATTCTACTGATAGATTTTTTTTTTTGGGTTAATATTTAGTTTCATTAACATAAAAAAAATATATATATATATATATATAGTTTCATTTTATTAAGGAAATAGACATATTGTATACGTCATTTAAAATTAAAAATTGAAGAGATATAAAGCGCTTTGTTATAAAAGAGGTTTTATAGTAAGCTTACAAAATACTACATAAAAGGAAAAAAGTAGACATATTAATTTCATTCACAAAAAATAATTATTTCTGTCGCTCATGTGGATAAGTTGACCGTGACAGTTAGCCCACTCCTTACACCAATAAATAAATAAATATCATTCTATCGGCCACACAAATCCAAAGTTACAAATTTTTAAATAAATTATTTTGTTTGCATATATATACACACACATATATATATATATAAATTGTAATTTACAAATAAAGAACCTAAAGAAACTACATAATCATTAATCCAGTCTATTGTTGTGAGTCAACACCAAAAAGGATCTACCATTCATAATGATGTGACACATCTGGATAGACTACTATTTGGGGTTGTCGAACTTTTATTCCACGATATTTAAGTGGGCAATTAATTATACTATAATTTATTAATAATTTTCGTCATGTTAGATTATAAAATAATTTTCATGAAAAATCTTTTAACCAGCAACGATTTTTTTTAATTTCTAATTTCACCATGAAAATAAGGTTTTAAATAGGAAAAAAACTTAGTTGCAACGGAAATAGCTCTATTTTGATATCCCTTACTAATAATACTATAATAAATACGTGAAAGTTTGGATAGTAAAATAATGATATTCTTGTTTCATGGAAGTTTTTCTTGACCAAATTGGCACTAGGTTTTAGAGACGTGTCATGCAACAGCAGTATATATTCTTATCCATAATTGTAAGAAAATACATAGAGAAAACATGCACAGTTTGACCAAGGAAGGAATTAGAATAATAAACTCTTAAAAAGTGTTACTAAATATATTAATATAGCATACCTCCCCATGAGAACTCTTGCACTAGTTGACAACTTGACATATTTTTACATGAACCATCAAACCAGATTGTAAGAAAACAGAAAAGAGAAAAACAAAAAAGAACAAAAAAGATTATTGGTATTTGCTATTTCAGAAAGGTTGGTGCTTGGTGCCTGGTGCTTGGTGCTGTCCATTATGGGAAGCATTTTAGTTGTACATCTACAACCACACCAACCACTATGTCTGCCATAATATTATTCATTAATTATAAAAAAATAATGCAATCATGCAAAGTAAAATAATATACACTGCTGGCACATTTAATCTTCCATGGCCAGACTTATTGTATGCAAACCCAGAATTCTGGACAACATATAATCCAAACATGTGCTAGGGTGTTGAAGAAAATAGTATACTTAATTTTAACATCGTAAAGTAGCAATTCCGATAAATTTCCCGGTATTCAGTTGAACCCTAACATCTACCAGGCATCTCAGATTCTCAAAGACTTGCTGAAGACTCACAAACTAATAACATGATCAAAGAAAGCAAACATTCAGGAAAAGAAATCACCAAAATTTTGCTAGATTTCTGAACTCAGTCATACATGGACTCCATCTTTGTCAGGGAACCATATTTTTTTTATCTCACTAGCCAGCCATATATATTACTACTATTACTTCTTAAGTGCATTCATTTTGTCCCTGATATAGTACAGCTTGGCCCTCCGCACTCTCTTCTTGTCCAGCACCTTTATCTCCTTTATGTTAGGGGAATACCTGCCATACATTATCCGCTTCTTTGGTCATGTGTAGAGACTGAGAGCATTATAAACTTACATGAAACAAATGATAAGAACCGGCAAACCTCACAGATATGAGGACTCCACTCAAAAAAACATAATTCAGAAATCAGTTTTCATACCAAGTAATCATCTGTTTCACCTAAAAATCGTAATTTAAGTGATAAAACGCTTAAAATCTAAAATTTCAGTTGAAGTTTTCGCATATCAATGTCACAGGCATGAACACCGGAACTTGTGATTAGCAGTGTTCGCTGTTTCTCAGAAGATAGAACTCAATGTTTCTGTTTTGAAAAATTCCATCTATTACTAAACATGATTAGTTCTTGGCTTTAGAGTACATTCATCAGTGGGAAAATAATCCTAAGTAACTGATACATAATTTTAATCATATCATTCTGTAACTTTCTACACTCCAACATTTTCAATAACCATTTTATTACACAATCAACAAATAACTATTCTAGAGAATAATTTTCAACAAATTTAGTGAAAACTGTATGTACAATGTTGTACAAAATATCCATACAATTAGAGTTGAGAATTAACGACCTATTAGGGTAACAATTTAATACACCCTGCTTCCTGGGCATCCAGCTAAAGATGGTTTTCTTTCCAACTTAAAGCAACGAGTCAAAGATAATACAGACTAGGGCCATATATAATTATGAGAAATGAACAGAACTTCTTACAGTGGAAGGAGAGATTCAACCCCAACCCCAGACACGAGCCTCCTGATTCTAATTGTAGTGTTCAGACCAGCATTGCGTCTTGCTATCACAGTGCCTTTCAAGATTGAAACACGTCGCTTATTGTCGGGTACTTCCTGTTTACATATGGAGAATTATTGAGAAAGAATATAGACTTAATCTCCTAAAATTCCCTCCGTAACACAAAGAACATTATAACACCATCTTCTAAATGAGAACACATCATACCACTCTGAGTTGCACAATATAACCAGGCCTTATTTCCGGTATTTCTCTCTGCACCTTCACTTCCTCTAGAGCTTCCTTGTCTAGAATCTGTGAAATACAAAATCAACAAATGTAATAATAGGAAGACAACATACACTATTTCTTGTCATGAATACCAACAGATAGATGCATACCTGCATTATGTGCTTGGCAGTTTTATCAAGCCTCTTGAATTTGATGCGGGGAGCTACGTCAGATCCAGACATCGTTGAATCTTGAGTAGCCGATTCAACAGGATTTACCCCTGTTGTAATGCACCTGCTGGGGAAAGGAGGTGAAACTGTCTCCCGTGGAAGTAAGCCTGGTCGAGGACTCTTGAATAACATGGACTTACTCGAGGACGTTGATGTCTCAGTTTGAAAGCCCCTTGTAGTCTGGTAGAATAATGCTACAAGTGTCATAAAAGTGTCTATATTTGGAAAGAGAGACAATGAATTCTCTTCAGATGAATTCTACACTTTATAACATAAGAAGGTTATGACTTAAGACCTTGGTGAACACTGCCAATTGACATTCCATTATGAAAAGTAAAATGCAGAAAGACCTCTCAGCTTCAATTGCTTCAGTGCATCAAGTACCATTAAAAAACAACTTTTTTTTTTTTTTAATTTAATTAACAGCAAGCCATTCATTTATATAAAATGCTCTATCCAAATGTAGCCAGCTATAAAAAAGTTCAACAGAAAACAAAGAATATATTTTTTCTAAAGGGCTAAAGTCACAATTACATACACATTCAAAGTAAAATTCACAAGTATAAACATATTCAAACTAAAATTCGCAGCTACAAACATGTTCAAAGTATATTCTTTAAAGTAAAGAACTAATAAGCATGTTTAAAATACTATCAGAGAGAGCATAACGAGTCGAAACATACGAATGAGGCCGAAGATCGATAAGGGAACTTGGAGAGAGACTGAAATAATGAACCTTTGGAAGACCCAAACCCCAATGAACTCTCAAATATCTTGGCAGAGGCCGAGCCATCCGAAGCCAACGAGCTGAACCCAGAACCACTGCTTAATGGGTAAGCTCCAACTGATCTGAAATGAGCAATTTTTGAGCTGTCGATTCTTTGCCTTTGGACCAATCGGATGCTCGCACTTAAAGACTGCATTTTTACAAAGCGAGTCTGTAATCAAATGTTCTATTTGGTTACTGAGAAAATGAAGTGGGACAACAAGAAAATACAGTGAATTTTCTTTTGGGTTTCTAGGGAACCAAACGGAAAGAGAGGATCGGTGAGTTCCAGGTCTTCCTCAGTGACAACACCAAAAACCCGCGATCGTTTGGGAATTGGGGTTTATGCTTAGGAGAGATGGACGAAAATGACCTCAATTTCTTCGATGCATTAGGGCTCCCATTTGGGCCAGATGCTTGTATAAAGTTTGTATCTAACAATTTGGTTTGGCCCAATACTAGACTTTGCCCAAAACGAGGACTAACCCTTTTCATTAACATACCAAATCAAAAGTTAATTGTAATGTTTCATCTTATATCCATTTCTTTCATTCCATTTTCATCTTATATCTCATACTTACAACAAATATTGTCTAGGAAAGGGACAATTAGCAGATGCCAGTTAGCATGAAAGCAAACTCGTATCTTAGTACTCAAATTTGAATCTCTATACCCGTAAATTAGATTAATTCAAAGAAATTTAGAGTATTACCTGAATCACACCGTCTAAATTCTTGCCCCATATACCTACTACGTTTTGTTTCATCTTATTTCCTAATTAAAGAGATAGAGGAATATTATCTAGCATTATGCAACCAACAGTGAGCATCTATGGTGCTGCATTACAAGGAGGAGGGGCTGGACCAGATCTGCAACAGCTACAAACAATAGATTCCTCGAGACTTTTTTTTTCTCCCTTCTCAGCAATTGTCGCCTCACCCTAGATTCCTCTCCTACACATCTTTGAACATAAAGTTGAAAAGTTACATCTCCCACATAGAAAACTTTATGAACATGATATTCAAATAATAAACAGTCAACAAAACCCACATTGGAAAACCAAACCCAACACAAACTCTTCCACCTTCACGTTTATTATAGACTTATAGTTTTTGACTGGTTTGGTCATCTTTTGAACAAATCTGGTGAACAAATGGCCTTGTATAAGTATTTTAAAGTGTAGCAGAAGCAAAACCACCTCGGATTCAATCCAGTTGTCCTTGCTAAAAGGGATATTAAAAAAATATTATGTGATAAAAATAAAATAAAGTGAAGCAAAGGAGGAAAAAAAAAAAATTAACAAACAAATAAAATAGAATCCAGGTAAGAGAGGTTAGCAGTGGTGCAGATATAATAGAATATAAAAGGGTGGTTCTACACTCGCTCTTACTCAATGCCAGTCTATCTGCCAGTTTGGAGATCAATTTTTTAATTCCATTAATGCTGCCAAACACACCTCTGGCAGCATCTGGTGACCCAACACATCTTGTGACTAAGATCTCTCACTCACCCCATGTTAAAAATTCCCTCTTCACAATCCAACTTCTCTCCAATTTGTTCCTCATCTAGCAGGTATTGTTTTTGCAACTAGTTTTTGATCACTAACAAAAGTATGCAAGACCATATTGGCATCCCTGCTTGCTTTTCATCAAGTGAGAAGCTGAGTGATGATGCTTCAGCTGTAACTAGGTCAGGCCACAGTGTTTACATGTCTGTGTACAGAGCCAAGATTGCTGATCAGTGCCGCTTGATCACAATCACATGGTGCAAGAACTTGTTGCTCCATGGCCTATCTGTATCTCTTGAAGGCCCAGATGGAGAAAACCAGCAGACCTGCAAAGTTGAGCTCAAGCCATGGTACTTTTGGAGAAAACAAGGCTCCAAGCGCTTTGTAGTTGATGGCAAAGCAGTTGACATCTTCTGGGACCTCAAGTCTGCAAAATTCAATGGTGGGACAGAGCCCAAGTCAGAGTATTATGTAGCAGTTGTTTGTGATGAAGAGGTTGTGTTGCTTCTCGGTGATCTCAAGAAAGATGCATATAGGAAGACAGGGTACAGGCCTGCTCTGATTGATCCCACTTTGGTTTCAAAAAAAGAACACATCTTCGGCAAGAAAAAGTTCTCCACAAAAGCCAAGTTTTATGAGAAAGGCAGGCTTCATGAAATTGCAATTGAGTGCAAGAACAGAGCTGGGAGCATCAGCAATGGCAATTCATTAAATGGGGTTGAGCCAGAATTGGAGATTAGGGTAGATGGGCATTTGGTAGTTCATGTTAAGCACCTTCAGTGGAAATTCAGAGGTAATGAGTCCATTCATATCAACAAGTTAAGAATTGAGGTTTATTGGGATGTCCATGACTGGCTTTTTAGTCCTGGTTTGAGGCATGCATTGTTTATTTTCAAGCCAGTTTTGCCTTCCAGTACATCTCTCTCACCACTGTCCAGGTCATCATCTTCCTCACCGCCATTTTCTTCCCTGTCATCCACTCCATTGTCGTCCCAGACCAGTTTAGGGTCAGTAGAAGGGCTTAATGCAAGTGGATCATCTGAGTTTTGCTTGTTTCTCTATGCCTGGAAGGTTGAATGAGAAACCACATATCAAATATGGTAGACTGGTAGTTTCATCATCATCATCAGCGGCAGAAGAATGAGGCTGGAAAATGAAATGGGGCCCGAGCAAGGAATGGGGACAGCATGGAATGATGTAGATGCAGATTGGATTTGTGAGTGAGAGGTTTGGATTGAGAAGGGAAGAGGTGGGGCCCAAGAGAGGGGTTGGATGGAAGAAGTTAGTTACAGCTGGGGTTGAACAAATGGGCACAATTGGACAAGACAGATGGTATCACTTACACGCCCAATAATTCCCCATCTAGAGGCATCTCTACCTATTTTTATACAAATTCTCTTTCCACTTTCTTGATCTGATCTTGATAATTGAGCAAATTTCAAACTCTTCTTTTTTTTTTTTTTTTTTTCTTTTTCCAACCAATGTATGTGATGTCTCCAAAGTTTTATATAAAAGAAATATAGACCAATATGTTCAAAGGGTACTGAATGTTTGTATCTGGCATAAAATGTTGTTACATGTGACAGAGAGGAGGAGTTGTTGATGATGATTGAATCACTAATGCAAGACCATGTATGTACACCACGTATTAATATATAATTAGGTAATTTTCCCTCTACTATTCTGAAGTTTACCGAGTTTCAGCCTTCAGGACATAAATTTTCATTTTTCTGTGTCCTTACTTTTTATGGTTTTGACCTCAAATATGAAAGGGGGGAAAAATGGAAAATTAGATTGAAGAGGAAAAATAAGGTTGAAAGGCAAAAACTTTCTTTCCCCTTTTGGAAAAAGATTTGATTGGATGGCTTCAACTATTCAGGTTATTCCATTTTGACTGCCAACTCAGGTCCTTCTGTTGCAGTTCATAATGAATTTTCTGCTTTTTATCCAAGAGCTTATCATTTCATTGCTTTGGATAGCATATGAAGGAGCATATTCAAAACTTTCAAATGGCATTATCACAAACCAAGAATGACAGCAAATAAATTTTAGCTTTTACCCGGAGATTTTTAAACGACAGAATGGATTGAACTCAACATCAGCATCCACTTTTACCACACATTTACAGCAGGCAGACAGTTCTTGTGAAGGGACACAAACAAAGAATTTTGGTCGTAGAAAATAAGATACTCAAAATGCATGTCAGCATCATCATCATGTACAAGAACAACAATGACATCTCAAAAACACTGTCATATAAGCAAAAGCTAAAACTTTTTGCAACTTGAACCATTATTGTCTGAGACAAAAGTAATAGTACAAGAGGCCACAAAGGCATTTTACATTCCCTCTTCTTACTAAATTATGGGTCGTAGTTTCAAATCTTTCCTCTTCCAAGCACAAACAGAAATAGTTTACCCGAACCAATCTCGCCCGTCTGATGAAACTGGCAGATATCTTAAAGACGGTTTCAGTTTTTTCTTCTAACATGTTATCAAATTCAGGTTCTTCTATATGAATTTACAATGAACAAAATGCCCCAGATTTTTGTCCTCATTTAAAACCAAACCACTTTGCCAGGAAGAACTTATTCTTTCCGCGGGAGGCATCAGGTGAAGGGGCTTGGACAGCTGCAGAACTCGGTTTAGCTACAAGGGAAAAGATGTCAAAGCTTTAGGCATCAAGGGAAAAGTAAGAGTTTAAAACTTTTACAAGAGTAATGAATAAGTGAATGTGTAAAAAGCCGTAGGGAATATAGTGCAGTCTAACCTGATTTTGGTGAAGCCTTTTTTGCATTTCTTGCATCATTAGAATTCTTGTCTGGATTTTGGGTGATGGCTTCGTGGCGAGAAATAGAGGTTGATTTCCTTTCTGAAACCTTCTGCTCATCATGTTCTCTGTTATCACCACCACCTGAAATCATCACAAGAAGTGTTAAAGGCTGTCAAGGATCATAACCCTAATGTGAAACCATTGAGAAAGTCATTAAAAACAACTTTCATGGTTCTAAAAGCCAACAAAGCAATAGAACAACAACCAAGGGGTTTCAATGACAATGCTCATTTTTCATGCATAGTAACCTACTTTCATTAGGAGGCTTCCCATAACTTTTCCGCAAAGCTTCAAGAAAGGAATTGTCTCTTTGATTTTGTGTCACTGATAGAGAACCGAAAAAAATGGATTGTTACAATTTACTAGACGTATATAAGAAATACAATGTCATTGAAGATCCAGAGACAAAAATAGAAGCACATACGTTGATCGAAAAGGGAATTCCTGTAATTGGACGGTAAGCCAACCAATAGCAACTGGACTGCCTCTGCATCTCTTGTCATAGACAATTGAGGAGATGCTTTCAAATTTTGAGTGTCTAACAATATACCTGCAAGCTGCAACACAAGACATCACTCAAAATCCTAATCAAACAAGGACAAAAAAAAGGCTGCTTCTTTTTTGCTTTTCCTGAAAGAGTTATGTGATTTACCAAAAGTTTCTTGAGCAAAGGGTTTTCAAGTAGATCATAGGCATCTTCACAGTAATTATCTGTAAGAATGGTGCACTGTGATCCAACCTATAAAAGACAGGTAAACGACACACTTCAATCAGCTAAGTTATGTCTATGCATACTTGTTGTAACTGTTCTTGTACTTCCAAAATTTACTGCATATCTGCACCAATTACCTCCCCATTATTCGTCAAAACGTCTTGCCCGATGACAAGGATGTTTAATTTCCCAGCCATCATGAGACTCTCCAAGTCCACCTAACACCAGATTGCATCAACAAAACCAACCAACTTATAGCATTTGGCTACAATGCCAAAGGAGGATAAAATATAGACAGAAACCCCAAAATACTATGCAAAATATTTGTTACCAACTATAGCATTGCAGAGAAAGCATATGGGATTTGAAGTACCTCATCAGCAAAGAGCAATGAAGTGGCATCAAGGCCAACATGGTGAAATAGCCAAGCAGCCTCTCTTTGCTTCCACATGCTCCCTCTCTTCACATTCATCACAGGAACCACCACATACTCCTCCTCCTCCCCATTCCCTTTGCTCTTATTTTCCTTCCTCACCCTGTTCTCAAGTAACCATGCATAACATATTGCTGCTGCCATTGTACTTGTGCCTACATTTCCAATAGAATATGGCTTACACATTCACTTGTTTTATAAAGAATTGTGATAATTAATTTGTGAACTAAACCCTAGTGAACCATTTTATGCGCGTCACAAGTGAGATTCACTTATTACATCAATTATTGATAATTAACACATCACATGTCACATTATGCGATTCACTAATGTCCAAGAATATGATAAGGCATACTTACTATTGGAGGGGTCGGAAAGTACTATTTTAGCCTTGGCGTTAACTTGACCATCCAAGACTTTCTCAACCTTAGTCCTTTGCTCTTTGAGAAACCTATTAAGATCAAGGTCTCGGTTTTGGGTTTGGACTTGGGCTTCATCTTTGGGCCACCCAATTACACTGGGCTTTGGCACACTGTTCCCATTGGAGCAAGTGGACGAGGATATGGACCGACGATGGGCTGACGGGACAAGGTTTTTGGGCGGAGACAGCGGCTTGGCATCCGGCAAAAGTGTCGGGCTTTGGAAAGTCCGCCGAGAAGAGATTGGAATCCCCTGTGGGCGAGGCGAGGAGGGGTCATTTTGGAACCGCGACCTACGGTTGACAGGCTGGCGGGGAGACACAGTTTGGGCCTTGGGCTCGGGATTAGGCTGCTGGGCCGGAGAGGGATTGGAGTTGGGCTTGAGGATATTGGAAAACCATTTGTGGACCGCCGATGCAGGCGATGATTCCGCTGGCGATGCAGGCGAAGTAGGCCCCTCCAACAACAACACGTCAGATTTGTTTCTGGTGTGCTTGTTGGCTGACTTGGATAGGATCTCGCCACTAAAACTCTCCGCCGCTCGGTGCCTGTACGATGGGTAATTTCAGGATTTCACATTTGATTAAATCAAATACAAATTAGTTAATTGAATTGGGCATATTATTATACCTTCGGGCGGACCTAGATTGTGGGTCCCGGCGATCAAGGGAGGAAGAAAATGACAATCTTGGGGCCTGCGGGGGAGCTGCGAAGCGCGGTGAGCCAGCAGCGAGTCGAGAGGGCGATTCACACCGAGTTGGGGACGAGGCCACAATGCGCCGGGCCTCTTCTAGCCATTCCTGAGTCATTTTGCTGTTAGTAGTAGTGGCGGATGTGGGTCTTGGGCTGTCGCCGTCGTCCTCGTAGTTTACGTCGTCTACGTCGTCTCCGGTCAAGTTATAGGACTTGGACTTGGCGTTTACGGTGCCAAAAAACATGTCGTTCATGAAGTCAGTGAGGTCGGCTACTTGCTGGGGTTTGTTACGACGTTGGCCCTCTGCCATAAGTGGCTGCGGCTGCTTGTTGTGCTGCATGGTTAGCATGGGGCCGCTTCTGCTTTCTCTGCTGAATATTCTCTTCTCCATGGCTACGTAAGTTCTCAGTCTCCCAAGACTTCTCTCGTCTCTTGGGTGTATGTATGTGGACTGTGAATAAAACGTGGATTGGATATGTGGAGAGAGAGGGAGAGAGAACCTAGGAAAAGAGGAAATTTGGCCGGCAGTTTTTCGGTCACTGTCTTTTGCTCTGTGTATTTCTGAGTGAGTGTAATATTTGTCTTCGCTTTTGATACATACATGATATGATACATGATATTTAATTATTCATGGGGCTTTGGATGTTTTAGCCCATGAAACTCACTCATGGGTAGTACCAATACATAAGCACCTGCTTGATTTGGGCTGCGGGCCTCATCCCTCGAGCCTCAATCCTTAATATATGTTCATCTTTTAAGGAGATGCCCTTGAACATCACCATTACTTTACTAAAGTTTTCAAATAGAATTATTATGGTAGAAAATGGGCAATATCAACAGTATCACTAGAACTTTGATACTTTTTTTATGTCACATCGACACTATTTGAACTGTTTGCTATCAAAATAATGGGAAAATATATCGAGATGCAATCTACATAATGAAACTATTAACTGCGGGAATGAATAATGTCATTTAAGAACTTTGCTACCGTAATAGTGGTATTTGAGAGCAATTTCCAATCCTTCTATATGAAAATGCTATAGCAGTGTAGCTTGATCGAAGATATTTATTTTCCTAGTTTACTTTGGGCAATTGTGAAGCATTTTGCGTCGACTTTCTATTTAGAGAGCTACGTCGTTGACTCTTCTCAATAATTGTATATAACTTGCTTGCACAGCTCTAGTGTAAAATACTTGTTTTGAATATGATGGAGCACTTGACAGCTCTGTTCAGTATGAAGTTTGAATTTAGATAAGATTCATATAAAAAAGAAGAAGGGAGATTCACTATTATACCCAACATAGGAGCTCAAATTATAAAAATACCTCATATGAAATGGACTTTATAAACATACCCAAAGCTCATTTACAACATAACAAATAGGCTTTTAACTTCTTATAAATTACAAAACTGCTATTAATTTCTTAAAACAAGCCAAACTCCAAAATCTCATAAAAATACCCAAAACACTCAATATGCATCAAAGTAATTTAATAATCAATATTAAATTCAATAAGCTCAGCTATCATTTTTTAGGTTGGTTTATAGAAATTTAATGGTGTAGGGTTTTTTTATAATATTAGTGCTAATAATAAGTATATCGCTAAATATCTCCAAAAAGAATCTATTATATTGATCATATAATAATATCTAGGGATCAGCTAGGATCCTTCTAACAATCGTAAAGCTTCGTTGCATCCCAATTACTTGGTGTCTCGTTTGTTTGCCCTTCACAGGACATTAAAGGACAAAAAGAGAATGAACTTCGGGCCACCATACCCATCCCTATCTCCATCTTGTCTTGTCCACGACAACTAGAACTGCGTTAAAAAATTGAAACTGCTGAAAGTCAATCCATAAACAAAACCCTAAACACATCCATCCCAAAAAATCTTGTTTTGAATAATATAACCAGACCCCATAAGGGTCATAACCCTTACCCCTTCAGTGTACTTTAGGGCCATTTTGCCATTCTCATCATAAAATTATTACTCGGTTTTCCAGAAATATCTGCATGTTTTCGATCGTTAATTTCACAAAAGCCAGCATACACTTTGGGCCTTTTGACCTTTTCTGCATACGTCTTCTAAACCCATTCTCAGTGTTTTTAATATTTTGGTTTTGAACATTGTGCATTGTATATAAAGAGAACCCAGGTGCCTGTTAATATCATCACCTTCAGAATCAAATCCTGTACTCTCTCTCTCTCTGGCTTTGGTGATTTGCAATTAAGAAGTCTCAGTCTCAGATGGCATCTACTGGGATTCTTTTGGCGTCTCTTCTTCTCCTCTCTTGCTTAGCAGAAACCTCCCATGGTGTCCTCTTTTCGTCTCTGAAACAAACTCTCATAGTCACTGCGTCACACAAAGAAGGACAGGGTATATATAAACATTTCCCATTAAAATTTTCCGACTTTCTAGTCCAAAATCTTGTTTTTAAAACTGGGTTTCCTTTACTTTTCATTGTAATTCACGCAAAGTCTCCAACTTTCTTGTTCAACATCCTAACTTTTCAACTGGGTTTCTTTAATTTTTCATTTTCTTTACCAGATTGATGCAAAACTAATCAAAATTCATGAAATTTCTGCAGTTTACAAAACAGGGATAGACAAACTCACCGTCTCGTGGGGTCTGAACCAGAGTTTCCCAGCTGGATCAGACTCAACCTACAAGACCATCAAGGTGAAGTTCTGCTACGCGCCGGTGAGCCAGGTGGACCGCGGGTGGAGGAAGACGGTGGACAGCCTCTCCAAGGACAAGACATGCCAGTTCAAGGTTGTTGCTAGGCCCTACAGCAGCTCGAACCAGAGCTTCGAGTGGACCATCGAGCGCGACGTGCCTTCCGCCACGTACTTTCTACGCGCCTACGCTTACGACGCCGCTGATGTTGAGGTGGCTTACGGTCAGACCACAGACGCTCAAAAGGCAACCAACTTGTTTGTTGTCCAGGGAATCAGTGGACGCCACGTGTCCCTTGATATTGCGTCCATTTGCTTCAGTGCTTTCTCGATTTTGTCCTTGGCTGGTTTCTTTATTGCTGAGAAGAGAAAGGCAAAGTCGTCCCACGAGAAGTGAAGGAAAAATATGAACTGTCAATCTCAGACTTTAGTAGTTTCCTTGCGTTGACCAAAAGAAAAAAGAAAAAGAAAAAAAAAAGAGTGTAGTAGTTTGCATGATTTAGTTTTTGGTATTTTATTTTCATCGTACTGTTTTATACAATACTGAGAGGTAATTAAATGGTGGGGCTTAATGTGGTTTGAAAGGTAGAAATGACAAATTGGCAATGTGGAAAGGGTTACATGGGTAGGATGAAGTTGGTTTTCAGAAAATTGGAAGCATTGTCTATGTGGGAAAAGAAAAAAGAAAAATCTATAATAATAGCTTTTTGTAAAAGTTGATATGCAATGTTTAGTGAATGTTAATGATGCAGACAAATGAGAATCAGAAACCAAAGTACTTTCCTGAACCGGTATGCAAATTGGAGTTATCACACACTACCAAGGTGCCATGAGTTCGAACATGAAATCATTAATCTGCAAGTCAATGCTCTTTTTCATTGGGCTACTAGATCCCGTTCGTGAAAGTAGCAAATTTTTAGAGTCAATATTAACACCAAAAAGAAGAATATAATAGCACTCTGAGTTACATTACAGGGCCAAGTTCACGCAAATTTCACCTTTCATAGACAAATATGTGCACTCGCGAGTATTCATGAATTGTGTCGCAGAACACAAATGCAAAGCAACAAACTGGTCATGACAGTCAAATATGATTTTGTATATATCGTTCTCATGGGAGTACAAAACATGATAAGTTTCTGGTCTCCCCAATATATATATGCAGGGAACTATTTCGAGCCAAGCCCTTTCAAGACTTGTGCATAATCACACATCTCCAAATAACATACACCAAATTCAAAAGAATTTGTTAACAAACTTCTTGATGCCAGTTATCTTGTAAGTCTGCTTGAGGATTGTATAGCATGTCAGTGCTCTTCATTCGGTCAGTACCAGTAAGTTCAAGTTTATCATCATAAACGTCGATATATCCATATGCATCTGTCCCAGGAGGGCACTCAAGGGCAGCTTCAAGAACTCTATGGTGGATTCCATGGGAATCAACAGAGTGGCCGCCTTTGTGATCGTGCCCGGCAAGGCAAACTTTCACGCAATTATACCGGTGTACCACACTCATGACTTCGTCATAGTTCCACAAAAGTGCTTCTTTGGCTGATGACCCAGGATCTAAAGGCAGATGGCAACAAATCACTACTTTGTGTTTCAACTTTGTTGCTTCCTTGAGGACGTCGTCTAACCATTCCAATTGTTCCTTTCCAACTGCTCCATTGAACATAAGGAACCTTCTCTCGAGGCCTACAAGGCCAGCTGGACTGTTCTTGTCTGTATTTGGATTCCTCTCCTCAAGGAATTTCAAAGCCTCTATTGTATTTGGATGTTCTTGAGGCCAACCAATAGCACTAATATCATAGCCATCCAAAACAACGAATCTGAATTCTGGTGTCGGTGAAAAGTCATAGTATGCACGACCATCAACACTTGGAATATTCAACAACGGAAGTAATTTGGTGCGGGGAAGATTATAGAGGCAGTGATTACCAATCATATGATAGACAGGACCATTAAAATCCTCAAATTTGTCAATAACTCTTCTTACAGCATCCAGGGATTGGTCTTTTGGGCAAAATCCATCAACAATATCCCCAAAATTGATCACAAATTTATGCCTCTTCTGATCATTCCATCTTTTGACAGCCCTTTCCAGTACAACAATGCTATGCCTATAATATCGTGGAACGCCAAGAAAAGAACGGCCATCAGGAATATCAGCATACTGGACGTCAGATATCACCCCAAACGAAAATAGAGGTTGCTTCCCCTGTGCACTGGCTAAGCCATTTGTGGAGCCCATCATGTAGCTTGCAGGTGCAGCAGAATCCTGTGAGACAGAATAAAAAAATCGTTCAATTTCATTGCAGCATGAGTACTTTTGAAGTGCAGTCAAAATACAAGACTTAGATTAGCTGTTATCCTGCCACTCATGAGACTAAATTCAGCATCAACAATCATTCATTCAATTCATTTTATGGTTGCTCACTCAGCTAAAGGTGGAACCACAATCACCAGCAGATGCAATGTATAAAGGGAAACATCTACAGGGCAAGTTTTAAGTCCAAAGAATGGATCTGAAAAATTCTCGAACATATATAGAAACAATTTTCAGGGCCGTTTAGTTGCATCCAGACTCACTCAAAAGAAATTCATCAAACAATTTACCAATAAGACCATGGTGTTCCCTTCTCGAATTTGTAAGTTGCAAGTAACTTTGAACATTAAAAGACCAATAACATATTGAATTACAATTAGTATCTACCAGACTATGGAAACCAGATTTTCTCTCTCCAAAAATCAAGCATATGAGTACAACCTTACTACATTTAACCTCAGTTTTTGTTTCAAATGCAAAATCCACATTCTGGGTTGTTAAATTTCCAGAATTTGAATGTTCCCATGACAAAGTTCATAGCTTCAGAACAAACCAAACATAATGCAGGCCCGAATTAACATACACATTGTCAACAACTATCACCCGAAACAAACCAATCCTCAATTCTGGGAAAGAAAAAAAAAAGCGTAATTGGGTAAAAAATAAATCAACTGTAATTGCATAGATCCCAGAAGATATTTGGATTGCATTAAGAACTGGAACAATGGGTTTTGTAATTAGAACCGAAAATCTTTATAAAAGAAATTATAATAATGAAGATGAACGTACCAGGTGGGAGTTTTTGCAGTGAGAGAAACTGGGGGTTATCTTCTCCGTTTGTTCTGAGTCTGAGGGACGAGACGGGGAAGCGATTATCGTAATATAAACGACAACCCAGTACGACACCGCCTTCAACCAGAGGAGGGAGTTGAGTTCCAAAAGGACTCGAATTTCGGTTTGTTGCCTTACGCAATGTGCACCCCACTATTTCCCCTTCACACTCAATTCAATATTCAACGGGAATTGTTTTTTATTTTTATTTTTTAAATTTATTAAAATAATAGTGTTGATCAAAATTATATATATAAAGACCCAGCCCAATAATTAGTTTTTCTTTACGGGCTTCATTTGGTGGCAGAATTACCAAATTGCCATTTCCAACCGGTGGGTTGGTTGAGAGACGTGGGGTAAATATGAGCGCCAAAATTCACCGCTCTTGTCCTTGTGAGCCAAAATCCAACAGTGTTCAGGTAATTTTGCCAATAAAATAACCAATTATTTCCAACAGTAAAAATTAAATAATTGTTCGTCGGTGAGGTCTCAGAAGACCTCACCTCATCATTCACCATGGGCCCGGTTCATCTTATTGCACAGCTGTGTCAACCTATAAACAAATTTGGTTTAGCGACATACACGCGACGCATATTCTCTAATTTAGTGGAGACCGTCCTGAATTCAAATCTAATAGATGACAATTGTTAGCTGCATAGCATTGCCCCGGATCAGGGGAATCTAAAATCCATGTTAATCAATCAAGAATGTCACTGTTCTGACAACTATACAGTTTAAATATAACAATCACTGTTATTATAACCTTTTTTTTTTTGGGGTTACAATTTTATTATAACTTTCATTCCTATAGATCTAAACACTGAACTATGTTGTGAGCAATCAAACTAGATAAACAGAATGACCCGTTTATGAAAAAGAAATTGAAGAGAAGGCACAACAAAGTTCTGGCAATGAAAGCTTTGCTTCAAGGAAGCCTTCCTCAGGATTCAGAATCTGCCTTGCTAATCCAGGCTGATTTCATGTGGCTAAGCTTGACTCAATTTAATACCGATGAGCTCCCATTACCAGACGGATGAAGAATATGGGAAATAAGCTTCTCTGGCAGTTTTTTAGAGGCCTGCAAAAGATATCCGCAAAGAGGTGAGTCTAAAAACTCAAGAAGCTCCTTGTGTATACAGATATTTACTGTTCTCAGTAACTAACCTGGAAGTGCCTCATGTGCAAAATCGGTTCGCACCCAACATCTGCAACAGATTTTCCATTGGGGGTTTGCAGTTTGAATCGGCCAGCTTCATATGCAGAAAGAGCAAAATTTGTCTCATCAGGCAGGTGGTGGCAAACTTTCAGGAGGGAGCTGAGAGAATTCATCTGGCATTTTATATTACATACTATGTGAGAAACCTTAGCTCAATCAAACACGTGAGAGGAAAATATAACTTGAGGGAAAATGAACAATAACTAATCATCCACTTCTATTTATTCAATTTCTACTATGGCTTGCCAAGACCAACTGTTACATCAGAAAACACAAGGACGTCTGGCATTAGCTATTCTTGCAACCTTTGAGAGTTAAACTAAAGATGAGAGGTGCTTTTTATATAACATCCTATCAATATTACTAATAGAATACTTAGGGGATATCTTCCAGAATTTTCTCATCCATTTTCATGGTCACGTCACTCTATGACATACAAATCATGTATCACAAGAACAAAAGATCTTGTGTAAAAATGTCCCCGTTGTGTGGGACCTGAATGCTACGCTAGGCCAGGTATTAGTTTGAGATGTATTACAGACTACAACCATTTAACATACATGCATGCAGAAAAATACTGAGACATGCATAGACTGGTTATTTTCATAAAAGTCTAGTTATCTCCAGCATATCAGATTTCATGCTAGAATATTTCAGAATGTGTTAACCTTCGTGAACTTATCAAAACCAATCATGAAAAAGGCAACTAACCTTCATGTATGGACAGGATGCACAGCCGCCATTAATGGAGCATCCCTCACCACTGGCAACTCCAGGTATAACAGGAAGTATGACATTGCCCACTGTAACAGATTTAAGGCCTGGGGAAGCATTTGATGATGTTGTCACCGATTCAGATGAAACTGGAAATACAATTTCTACATTAATCTCTGCTCCCCCAGACCTTGCAGAACCTAACAAACCACGAACTGCTGCGACAATTGAAGTCACCATTCCAGATTCCGTTCCTAACACAAACTGAAGGTGCTCATTGACATTTCTATCCAAAGCCTCCTGAATCCTCTGTTTTATGAAATCTAGTATGTTCTGGGTAGAGCCCACAACCCCCATTCCTCTTCTCTTTGCTTCCATTGCCAAAGAAAACATTTCTCCAGGGACCTCGAAATGAGCAGTTAGATACGCATCACAGTACATTTCTTTTATCCTGTCCACAACTTCATTTCCAAATAAATGATGTACTATGCATGTCCCATCCTGATGCCAGAAATTTGCATAATCATAAAAAAATAAGCAGTATGATGACCAAAATCAGAAAATGCAAAGAAAACTAAAGGAATAAAAATTGTTATGCTACCCTTATCTCCAATTGAAAGGAATTATGCACAACTCTAGAACAGTCCATGAAAATACACATACCTGAAAATAATGCAGGCGAGGTAGCAAAGATCTGATTGAGTCTCTATTATGTTCTGGATGTATCTCAGCAATTTCTTCATCCGTCATCTTAGTCATCTGCTGGAGTAATTCTCTAATATTTGCACCCATGTAAGAATCAGGTCCGTACCATATGTTTGCATCAGGCACTTGAACAAAAGCCTGCAGAGATAAGGGACTTGGCATTAACAAAAGTATAATAGCAAGAATAAAAAGCCAATACTGTTTGATCTTTTAACAAGAAACATTGCAGAATTCACATATGATTGAGATAAAGGTTGTAATCCCACCAACCTGCAAAATGGTTTGTACAACATTTGAAGAAGTACACGTAATTGTTGGCACAAGCTCATGAGCATATGCTTTTGTCTCTAGAGAAGTGTTAATGTAGACAACATGCAACGAATTAGGAGACCTAGAAGCTGCCTCAAGATAACTCATATAAGAAGGGCTAGATGCAGCATCTGCCAAAGAACAACCTATACGTTCATTTGACATCCTGTAGACGCCAACCTGCAATCAAAGATTATGGAAAAGGAATAAATCCATTAACTGCTTCACCAGTATCTGGCACCAAATCAAAATCCAGTTAACTCTACTACAAATAAAGCACGCTACATTTAACTCATGCACTAAGATAGATACAGAGCAGTACAGTTGAAGAATCTGCATTGCATTGAACCTTTGAGATATCAAAGCCTTAACAAGTACAGAACACGTTTTGCATTTCATAAGGACAAATCCATGAACAGAGACAAGGAACTACCTTTTCAAAGCCAGCCTGATCAAGAATAGCCCGGACATTTTCGGACATAAAATCAACACCCAAAACTGTAATGAATTCGCAACCAGCTTTTGCCATATTCACAGCTGAATCCGCCATGACTAAAGAATCAGATATATGGATGTGAGGCCAATGCTTCTGTGCAGCAGTTAATACACCTTGGACCTCCGGGTCCATGTAAAAATGCGCAACAATGCCAATTTTCTTTTCTTTTAACACATTAACAAGTTCCTCAACCTTAGACTCATCAGGGAACAAGTACCTCGCCTGCAATTCAATACAAAATCCAACTTAGAATATAAATAAATAAAAAATAACAAAACTCTTACTTCTGTTAAGCAATAAAGATATAAAAATCAACAAGAATCACATGCTATTATGCTAACCTGGGCTTCAGCGAAGCTACCCTTTGCGTGAATCCCATCGGCGGTGATGGCGAGCGAAGGGAACGGCTCGAACGGCGGTCTACCCTGTTGCTCGGCGACCAAAGCCTTGGTCTTTTTCTGCATACTAACCAACACATTATGCCAAGTATTAACCCTAGACCTCTGTGCACCCGGCAAGCCCACATTCAGCGACGACAAGTCGTCAGTCTTGACCATCAAGACCTCATCGGGCGACGCGCCGTCGAGCACCGAGACTAAGCACGAGCAGAACCCTTTAGTAATCTCCGAATCGCTGTCCGCCGAGAATCTCATCTTGCCCTCCTTGTCCATCTTGGCCTCCAGCCACACCTGGGCCGTGCAGCCCATGACCCGGTTCGAATCGACCCGGTCCGAATCGTCGAACGGAGGGAGGAGAGTGGCGTAGTGCAATAAGCGCTTAACTCTATCGATCGGCTCAGATAAAGCTTGAAACTCAGAGATCAAAGTTTGGAGCTTGCAGGGGTCGGTGGTTTGAGGGGAAGAGAGGGTAAGGGCAGAGCAGGAGAAGGGGGAGGCAGGGCTAGGGTTTTTGGGAGGCTGCTTTAATGGGTTCGAATTGGAAGGCGGGGTTTGGATGCATTTGAGAGATTTTAGGAGGGTTGGTTGAGGAGGTCTGAAAGTGCTGAACTTCAAAGGGAGTGAGTTGGGCTTGTGGTTTGGGGAGATGGAGAAGAAGGAAGAAGACGAAGAAGAAGAAGAAGAGGAGGAGGAGACTCTCAAAGCCATGGTTGTTGCAGAAGAAGCCTCCATTGGAGAGTGACAGAGAGAGAGAGAGAGAGAGAGCTTGGAATTCAGTTTAGGGGGGAGGAGGAGGCTTAAAAAGTTGGAGGCTTTGAGTGGTAGAGGCAGCAGGGCAGAAAGCAGAGGCTTCAAATGGATTTGCTTCTACGAGGTTGAAATGAAATTGAAACTTGGCTCTCCCAAAGGGCGTCTCGATTTTGAGCCAACCAAGAACCAACTATTTGCAAGAAAATACGCGCCAATTCATTAACAAAATAAACAGCCCATCCCTTGGCATTGTGGGCCCACAATATCAACTTGGGGCAACAATTAGAAATTGGAAATTGGACCCATCAATTTCTCTCCGACCAATTAGGGGGAAAATTACTGTGAGGTGAGTCCCACACAAGTGGAATGTGGTTTTATGAGCAATGTTTGGGTCAGTCGTTACGAAGGCACTCGTTCTTCAATATAAACGAGTGTCGAGTGTTGAGTAACAAAAATCATAATTTTATTAGAATGATGGTTCGTTAAGATAGTACAAATCTTGTTCGCATGTGTTTAGCGACACAAATGAACTTTTTGCAGTTCAGACAGTATTAATAGAAGAGAAGAGTTTGGGTATTGTAAAATTGCTCTCGGCCGAAAGTTGATTGCGTGGAACCTAGTACTGAGTCAATGGATGGGAATCACTAACATGTGTATGTTTGGGGTACACTAACTCTTCTATTCAAGGGAAATCTACAACCATATAAAATGAGAGATTGAAATTGAAAGAAATAAGGGTGGGGTAGTTTTCTTTTCACGATTGTCGTCGTGTAAATGATGCAACTCTTGCTATCATTGACCACCAAATCTTTTGAATCATTTCCACCAAACATTTTAGACGTCAATGTTCTTTATGACATTATTCTTATTTCCACTAGAGATAAGATTGTGCGGCTTCTATGCAATTTCTAGGCTCATGCGCATGTAAGACGAGGAAAGTGCAGTGTATGGGCAGCCTATAAAGGTCGAAGAAGAAAAGTTGATGATGTAGTACTGAAATTCTCCTCATGACCCACATGAATTCAATTTCCTCTTATTTTCTTACCCCTTCTATTTAAATAATGAGGTCACGGCTGCACTACAAGTTTGAACATGCATGAGATAATTTTGTGTCTGACTTCAACATTACTACGTGATATTATCAATTCATGTACACGTATTATAATGAATAAATAATCACGGTGCAATATTAGAGCTATAGTAGGAAATTTTAACTTTGCAAAAGTGTGGGAGATAATTTCACTCAAATTATAATACGTTGTCGCGATAATTTTTTTTAATTATAAATAATCAGGTGGCAATGTTACACTTACATTAGAAAGATTAACATTACAAAAGTAGTGGAGGTAGGTAGATTTGGTTTCTTCTTCTCTCTTATGGCATGTTTACTAATCCGTAATTGGATTAGAAGGAATTGAATCGAGGAGAATTAAATTCTGAATATCTATTGAAGTTGTTTACTAAACAATATGTAACTGAGGTAGAAGTGGTGCTAATTACTAAAATGTCCTTATTATTGGATTAAAGTAGATAGTAAATTTTAAAATTTTAAAATTGTGTGAGGATATAATAGGTAAAAAAGATGGATTCTTAATGAGTTACTTGTTCGGGAATTAAAATATTACCTCCTATTCAAGAATTGATATTGATGAAGTGGTTGTCAATTATTTTACTCAATATGGTTGGAATATTCCCAAACTCCTTTAAGTCTTACATGTTGAGGTTGTCCAAAAAATTATTAGCACGCCCGTTGACTTGATGGTACATTACCAGACTCACTTGTCTGGGGGTCCTAGTTCCAAGGGGGAGTTCACAGTTAGATCTGCTTATAATATTTGTTTCAGCTTGTCTCAAGGGGATGATGATAGCTGGAATTTTATTTGGAAGCTTAAGATTCCTCCCAAATTAAAAGTGTTGCTGTGGCTATTAACCCAAAATAAAATTCTGACCAATGTGCAGAGAACAAGAAGAAAATGACAAATAATTCAGCTTGTCCGATTTGTCGCTGCCATCTGGAATCTCTTCAGCATGTGTTCATCCTTCTCCTTACCTGATTGTGTTAAGGAATCCTTTTCTACTGACTTTAATTAAGGAACTCCTCCTTATTTTGCTAAACAAGTGCAGACCCTAAACCCTAGACTACTTTGATTTTCAACAGTCAGAATCTTCTTGATTAGGGAGGGGGTTCTTGATTAATCTGCTGCAATATCCTTGATCTGGTGAACTGGTGGAGGCTGAATACAATCAGTTTTCTTCCCAATAAATCACAGAAAGCAGAAGTTCCTGGTGAGGCTTTTGCTTTTTCTTGGTTCAATATATTTGATATACCAAATCAGGACTAAAATCCTTACATTGTAATTTATATATACATATATACAGAACCTGCAACTCTCTTTAGTTTCTTTAACATTGCTTTGCTCAATGCCTAACCAATAATCTGTTGAGAAAATTAGAGTACACAACTCTAATATAGAATTGTTGGAGACAAAATAAGTAAACAAATTTCTTGTATTAAACTCACAAAATATTACAACGTGACAACTCTCAAAGAAAAGACCAACTCTTACAATCACTCTTTCTCACTTCTTCTAAAGACAAACTCTAGAAGATTCAATTACACAATGCATGGCTTCATGCCTATTTATAAAAATTCCTAGCCGACATTGCTCTCCATCCCACTGTCTTGGCTATTATACAATAGCCACATATTTGTTTATCTTCCAGAAAATTCCCCAAGCTTCAATTTGGCTGCCGACTTGCTTAACCGACTTTGACTCTCTTCTTCTAAATATTTGTAGATATCTAACTTTTCTGGACTATACCAACCGACGTGCAACTCTAGAATTCTGTAGATATTTTCTCTTCAATATTGGGCTTGGCATGGGTTCTTTATCTTCCTTGGGCTGTTCAATTATTGGGCTGGTGTTGATACTTCAACATAATCATTAACAATCTCTCAAGTGATGAATCGAAGAGTATGGTATTGGAACAAGATGAAGAGGGATTTTCTTATGAACAGTTAGGCCATTGACTTCACTCATACCCAAGTCTCTCCCCATGGCACCCTCACAAGGGAGCTTCCAATCAAACCAGTACAATAGGTTAGCAACCAGCGTCTCACTTAGATTGACATAAGCCCCGGACAAACTTGCTCTGCGAATCTTACTGACTAAAATTGCAACTTCTTCTTCCCTCATAAACTGAAATGTTCGTACTCTCTTATGGCTCAAAAGTTAAAGAACACATAGTTTCCTAACTTGTCTCCAGTGGTCACCATAGGGAGCAAAACCAATGTCTTTGCATCCAAAGTACAAAATATCTTCAGCTGTGGTTTTGATCAGGTTGGAGAAAACAATGTCATGAGTCCTCATAATTTCTTTGGCAAATTCTGCAGATGAAACCACAAGAGTTGGAGCATGGCCTAAGTGCATGAGCAGCAGAGGACCATATTTTTCGGAGACAGCTCGAAGAGAGCGGTGTGGTAATGTGCCTAACTGGTGAAGGTTCCCATTTATCGGAAGCTTTGGTGGGGATGGTGGTAAGTTAAGTTTGCCCCTTGATTTAGTGATTGTGAGAAAAACAAAAAATGAAAAGAGAAGGGCAAGGAAGAGGAAGGTGTTGATGGTTAAGTTTCTGTGTAGCTCTAGCCAGACTTGGTGCAAATCATTTCCTGTACTTGTGATTAAGAACATGAAATTAACCACACAACTCTGCTCCTCAGTCATTTATAGCAGCAGCCTTTGATGTATAAAGTAAATAATTTTAACCTTTAAACAGCTATTAGAGGTACCTGTGCTGTTTATACCTGCATAGAATTAATTAAATTCATGGGACCAATAGATCACTGTCAATCCCAAAACTTACATCATGTCCAAAAAGAACAATTCAGTCCAAGAATAATAACCATTGGCAGTAAATTCCATTCTGACTGTCTGATATTATGTAAAAACTATGCCCCCGGTCATCGGTGTATAGAAGCAAGAATGATGTAGAATTAAGGAAAATAAAAGCCTATAATATTCTCTTGATTGGGTCATTCAACTGGAGTTTATTTTGATCCTTAATGATTTTGACTTGGGCTAACAAAGGTTCAAGGAAAGTTAATAAGCAGCTCCTTTGCTGATGGCCATAAGACAAAGAATTGACATCAGACAATACTAAATTACTATAGAAGTATCAGTCAAGAAAATTAATTATCTTATTAGGAGAGTCTCAAGAGCTACTACTTCGGACCCGAAAAAGAAAAGAAAAAAAAAAGAAATTAAAGATTACCAGAAGATATGACCATTGTTCTCTAAAACTCCCAACATTAGCAATTAGATATCAAAATAAACTTTTGGAACAGCTTATGGATCATTCATAACCTGCTGAAGCAAGTACTAATTGCTATGCTTATTCTGCTAATTGAAACTTACCTTAGCTTAGCCATATCTGCTACCAGTTAATTGGGTTTTTAGTTAGGTGTGGTTGGTTGGTACTCTTCTTGAACTATTTTTGGTACTGCTTCATCTCTCCTTCCATTTCACCATATCCATTTTATCTTGAGATGTTCAAGAGATACTATAATTAAATGCATTTCATAATTTCCAAAGAAGATTAAAACATCTCAGAGAGGCATTACATATACCACTCTATATCTGTTATTATAAAAATTTACGTTGCTGCAGGTATTGCAGATACAACCATGTTCATCAAAAATATAAATAAAAACCAGATTTAAGAGCATAAGTAAAAGCCATGAAAACTCTGGATGATGGAGGGATCAAGGGGAGTATGGTGTTGGAACAAGATAAAGAGGACTTTTCTTATGGACTGTGAGACCGTAAACTTCGGACATATCCAAGGTCTCAGCCAATTTACTGCCACCACTAGGCAACTTCCAGTCGAACCAATACAGCATATTGGCAAGCACATATTGTGCTGAAGCAACCCCAAAGGCAAGTCCAGGGCACACCCTTCTCCCAGCACCAAATGGGATGAGTTCAAAATCCTGACCTACAAAACCAACGTTGTTCTCCTCAAACCTCTCTGGCATAAACTCATCTGGCTTGTCCCAGACTTTGGGGTCTCTTTGTACTGCATATGCATTCACAAACACTTGTGTCTTCGCAGGGATGTCGAAACCTCCCAATTTTACATCAGACATTGCTTCCCGAGGAAGTAAAAGAGGAGCTGGAGGGTGAAGTCTCAAATTTTCTTTGATCACACATGTCAGGTATTTCATTTCGTTGATGTCACTCTCCTCTACATATCCCCTTTTCCCCGCCACTCTTCTTACCTCTTCTTGGACTTTCTTCATCACCCGTGGATTTTGCGAAAGCTCAGACATTAACCAAATCGCTGCTGTCCAGCTAGTATCACTTCCACCCACAAACATGTCCTAAAATCATAAAATTAACAAGCCAAATCAATCTTCAGCTATATATATTTATCAAAAATAAAAAAGAGTGTTGTTATTTGGACATTTACTAATCACAGTGCCGACCACCTCTCTAATACATGTGGATCTCACATAAATTTGTGGGGCTCACCTCTATTAAAAGGGTTGTCAGCAATGTAATCAATAAATACAAAAAATATTATTGATTTATTAATGTGCGCGTGTGTGTACGCGTGCGTGTTTGAATGAAAGTAAGCGAGTATCATGTGACTAAAGCTAGGGAGGATATACATACCTGCAGAATTGCTTTGACATTGGAGGTAGTGAGCTCAAAGTCGAGTGAGCCGTCCTTTTGAACGTCGAGGAGAATATCCACAATATCCTTCTTACGAGGCTTACCTTCTTTCTGTGCTGCCTTATGTTCGTCAATCAACTTATCGAAAAATTTATCAAATTCTAACCAAATTGATTTCAAATATGCAAGGTAGCCTCTAGCACGGTCAATCCATTTCAAAGAAGGGAAGAAATCTCCGAAGCTGAAACTCATAACCTGAGTCATCAACTCCTTTGTGGTCTCTCCAAACCAATTGTCTTCTTTGTCCTCAAACTTCTGTCCAAGAATGCACCTGCAGATAATGTTGTTGGAGGTTGACACCAGCAGCTCCCCAAGATTAATGGGAGCACCGTTTGCGCTGGCGGAGGCTTTGCGAATCTTGCTGACCAACTCTGCAACTTCCTCCACCCTTGCGTACTGAAACTGGTGCACTCTTTTGAGACTCAGAAGCTCAAGAACACAAATTCTTCGAACTTGTCTCCAGTACTCCCCGTAAGGAGCAAACGCAATGTCATGGCCGTCGTAGAACAATATGCTTGGAGCAGTAGTTTGAGGCCTGCTGCAGAACACAATGTCTTGGGTCTTCATCACGTCCTTGGCCATCTCTGCAGATGAAACTATCAGAGTTGGAACTTTGCCAAAGTGCATGAACATTACGTCGCCATACTTCTTCGACAGAGCTCGAAGAGAGCGGTGTGGGAATGAGCCTAGCTGGTGAAGGTTTCCAATCCAAGGCAGCCTTGGTGGGGAAGGTGGCAATTTGAGTTTCCGGTTTTTCTCACTTGGTGAGGATGATCTAGTAAGTGAAAACAAGATGAATATTGAAAGGCAGAGAATAGGAACCAGGAAAATGTTGAAGGAACCGGTGCTGCTCTGCAGCTGCCCTTCTTGCCAAATTTGATTGAAAAGTGTTAGAAGAGCCATTGCTGCTGCTGCTGCTGCAATGTTGTGTTGTGTTGTTGGGTTTGGGTGGACACTTGGAAATCTCACTTCTTTTTATAGAACAGTTCCCCAGACTTTGCCAGCCCAAAAAAAAATAATAAGTCATGCATGTAGCAGTTGGCTCTGATTTGGACCCCAATGTTAATTATTTTTCATGAATCATATTATATATAAAAAAAAATCCATTAAAATACGGCCACATATGATTCACACCGAAGCCCCCTACAAAACATGCTGCACTTAGAGCCATCTCATGTGCACAACTTGCCTGCTTTGCCTGCAACAGAAGCAAAAAGGCAAGGGAAGCTGAAACTTTCGAGAAAAATTCTCGATCTCCAAACCTAAAGCATGCAAGAAGCAGATCAAAAGCACTTCTGCACATGTTCTTCATGTTTTAGGCATGCTTTTATAATGTTTTCCTGCATTATTGCACGTGGGTTCGCCCGTGCTTCCTTGTATATTATAATATATCTTTTAATATTTGCATTGTTGTAGTACTAGTAGGTGGGAAAGCATGATCAGAAGCTCCTCTCCCTCCCCTAAACTTTTTCATAAAATAAAAAAAAGAAAGCATGATCAGAGTCTCAACGAACGTTCCACGCTTTGACTTTGTAAATACGGAGTTGTCCATTTGCATAGATTGGCTTGTAGGTTAGAACAAAAAGAAAATATATTCTTCTGAAAAAGAGCAAAAATCCAAAAACAAAGGCAACCGCACGTAATTCCAAAACAAAATAGAAGACAAGAAGGAACATAGGAAAACGAAAAGAACGAAAAACCCTTCATATAATCAGGGGCTTTAATGTAATTCTGAGAAACAAGGAGTAGATTGTCTGGCATCAAATATGAATAGGTTTGTCCTAATGGGGCATGACAAAGAAGGTCCTACAATGAAAACCTCTGTGAGGCATTTCATCAAACTTGGTTGGTTAGATTATTTACAAGGGAAAAATTACAGCGCATATCAAGTATTACCAAAGATAAATATATAGCAGTAAAATAGGATAAGAGAAAATCAATAGGTACATATGCTACACATTCCCCAGAGGTACATATCAATAGCCTCTCTCTCACAATGGGTGGTGGACTCCATGTAGGCTGCCGCATACCGCAGTCTCTGCCGGTAATTTTTTCTTGAGAGAATCATACAAGTGATTTTGGCACCATGCAAATTCTCGTTTAATGGGAACGCGTTTGTAGCGGTTAGATAGACGGGTTCACTCCTATTTGTATATAAATTATTCGCAATCCATTAGATAAGTTCACATTAAATGGGAATTTGAAGCTAAACATTGCAATGGAGAATGGGAGAAGTCTTAGTTAAAATGCCTCAAAAAGTCTAGGTAAGAAAGCAGCTGGTACAATTTCTAGGGTTTATTCCCTCATTATCAATCAAAATGTTACAGGTAGAATTGATACTTGACCATATTATTAATCCAGATGCAATTTCTTCTACAACAAAAACAAAGAACTGTTTGATTAAAAAAAAACACAACAAAGCAAAGCATGAAGGCTTCTGGATGGAGGGATCAGGGGAAGTAGGGCACTGGCACAAGATTAAGAGGAGCTTTCTTTCGGACTGTGAGCCCGTAAACTTCACTCATGTCCAAGGCCTCAGGCAATGCATTGCCACTAGTTTCAGGCACTTTCCAATCAAACCAGTAGAGAATGTTGGCAAGCACCTGCTCAGCTGAAACAATCCCAAAGGCAATTCCAGGGCACCCCCTTCTCCCAGCACCAAATGGGAGGAGCTCAAAGTCCTGGCCTTTGAAATCAATGGAGCTGTCCTCGAACCTCTCCGGGATAAACTCCTCTGGCTTGTCCCAGATTTTGGGGTCCCTTTGTATGGCAAATGCACTGACGAACACTCTTGTTTTCGCCGGGATGTCGTAGCCTCCCAATTTCACATCTGCAGTTGCTTCACGAGGAATTAAAAGAGGAGCTGGAGGATGCAGTCTGAAACTTTCTTTGATGACACATTTCATGTACTTCATTTGGTTGAGGTCACTCTCTTCTACCTTTCCCTTTTCCCCCACAACTCTTCTTACTTCTTCTTGGACTTTCTTCATCACTCTTGGGTTTCTCACAAGCTCTGCCACTAGCCATACCATCGACGTCGAACTAGTATCGCTTCCACCCACAAACATGTCCTGAAATCATAAAAACCAAAAAACCAAATTGATTTTCAGCCACACACACACACACACACATATATATAGGGTTATATAGATTTATACAGACCTGCAGAAGTGCTTTGAGGTCCTCTTTTGTGAAATCAAAGTCAAGCGAGCCATCATTTTGAACTTGGAGGAGAATATCCACAAAATCCTTCTTAGTAGCCTTCCCTTCCCCATTTGCTGTCTTGTGTTCATCAATCAACTGATCATAGAACCTATCGAATCGCAAAAAAATCGCTTTCAAACCTGCAATGTAGCCTCTAACATGGTCAAGCCATCTCAAAGCAGGAAAGAAATCTCCAAAGCTGAAGCTCATTACTTTCACCATCAAATCTTTCGCTGTGTCCCCAAACCAACTATCATCTGCATCATCAAACTTCCGTCCGAGAATAGACCTACAAACAATGTTGTTGGAGGTGGAGATCAGCGTGTCACTGAGATTAATGGGAGACTCCGCGCCGCACGCTTTTCGAATCTTGGCAACCATCTCTGCAACTTCTTCCACCCTAGCATACTGAAACTGCTGCACTCTTTTAAGACTCAGCAGCTCAAGAACACAAATCTTCCGAACTTTCCTCCAGTAGTCTCCATAAGGCGCAAAGGCCACGTCATGGCCTTCATAGAACAAGATACCAGGAGCAGTGGTTTGTGGTCGGCTAGAAAAGACAGTGTCATGAGTCTTCATGACCTCCCTGGCCATGTCTGCAGATGAAACAACCAGAGCAGGGACATTGCCCAAGTTCAGAAACATCAGAGGGCCATACTTCTTCGAGAGAGCACGAAGGGAGCGGTGCGGGAAGGCACCTAGCTGGTGGAGGTTTCCGATTATTGGCAGCTTTGGTGGGGAAGGTGGTAGGTTGAGTGGTTTCCCACTTGATCTAACAAGTGAAAGCAAAATGTAGAGAGAGAGGAAGAGAATGGGAAGCAGGAAAAGATTGCTCTGGAGCTGTTGCCATGTTTGATTAAAAAGTGATATCAGAGCCATTGCTCTGCTTTTTGGCTTCTGGTTTTGGTTGCCCCACTTGAAATCTGAGTCCTCGTTTGATCTTTAATATAGAAATTGCCTGGGTTGTAAGGCCACAATCATTGAAGCTTCCGATATAAAACTTGTGGCAGAGGTTAGTTGTGAAAGTCACACAGCCATGGCACTGAGCAAGGGACAAAATATTCCAGTTTTGGATGCACAAGCGATTTCCTCTTGTAACCGACTTAATTAAATAATACACAACTACACAAAATGAAAAAGATTTGATTCGATTATGTGAAGCAATGATAATAATTTATAGGCTTATTTACTGTAGCTTTCGAAAGTTAAAGTGATCCATTTAACCTCCTTGACCAAAGTTTTATGTTCCACTTTGCCCCTACCATTATCTCCATTCATAACACCATCAATTTTAATGACGTGGCATGACTATTTTGGTCTTTTAACCACAAATAATTATGTGTCATGAACATAGCCCACTTTATTTGCTCAAATGAAATAAAATATTAAAATGAATTAAAATAATATAATTATTGTTTAATGAAAAAAATTAAAAAATGGAAAGTTTAATTTCTAAGAAATCTCCTCTTCTCCATCTCTCTCTCTCTCTCTCTCTCTTCCCCTCACCTTCCAACTTCCACAACCGCCATCCAAAGCCGCCACCAATCAAAACCCTAAACCTCACAGCCACCTCCTCACCCATCAATTCAACCACCTCTTTCAACCATATCTCCACCGCCACAACCACCTCCTCTCCTTCTCCTCAACACTCGGCGAGATCTCCGGCCTCACTGCTACGACTTCGTCGTCGTCGACAAGGAGCACGACAATGGCGTCGTGTCCCAAGCTCTCCCAGCCTCTACGCCTTGGCTGCGGCTCAAACCCCCTCCATTCTTCACTTGCTCGAGACCTCCGTAGCTTGGGCCAAGAAATCTATAGATCTGGACTCACAAGGCATCATGTTCCGCCTGATCGAATCTTCCCAAGGCTGGATTGGAGTGGTCGAACTATTCACAGTTGATTGTTCTTGGCCCAGATCATGGTTTTGTGGTGGGACTATTTTCTGGTGGGGTTGGAGTGGTGGTGGTGAAGGTGGCTTTGGGTTGGATGGTTGTTGTGGTATCATGGTGAAGAAGAGACGGAGAAGAAGAGATTATTTAATATTCTTTTTTTCTTTTTTTAATTTTTTTAATTAAACAGTAATTAAATTATTTTAATTTTTATTAATATTTTATTTCAACTGAGCAAACAAAGTGGGCTCTGTAAATGACACGTCATCATTTGTGGTTAAAAGACAAAAATAGCCTTACCACATCATTAAAATTGACGGAGTTAAGAATGGAGATAACGACATGGGGCAAGTGGAACACAAAACCTTGGTCAAAGGGGTTAAGTGAGTCACTTTAACTTTTGGGGAGTAAAGTGAGATTTGACCAAAATTTTAGAAAGTGCTACAGTAAATAAGCCTAATTTATATGTGCGTCATGCTTTTGGATCACCCAATATTGTGGGAGAAGCTACCCCATCCTCCGTATCGCTGTTAAGGCCCTTGATCCAAGGGAGCCCAGCCTTGTCTTGTCACATGCAATACCTTTTTAGTAAATTTATAGTACTTATAGGTAAATGATGAATAGCTTCGACGGGGCTTTACTTAGTTAAAATAGTTTTGATTTGCATATCAGGAGTTTTAGGTTTAATAATTATAGTACTTTGGTAGTGTGTAAAATAATCGCTTATATTAATATAAAAAAGTAAACGCATAGAATTGTGTGAAGTTAGATTACTTTCAATATTTTATTAACGCATAGAATTGTGTGAAGTTAGATTATTCTCAATATTTTACTAAAGGGTATACTAGTGATTTGCTCTTGTTCATAACATTTCATCCAATTTGCTGTTGAAAATATGAGCAAAATTGTCATTTTATACATTAAAAATTAAAAATAAAATTAAAAACAGAAATTCTCTCTCTCTCTCTCTCTGCAAACTAAAACTATCAAGAATGGCGCTTTCTCTTAGATTGCACACCTTGCTGTGCCGATCTTTGCCGCCGGAGGCCCTCGAGACGCGGATGATGCGGGAGTGGTGCCACCAGCGGAGGCGGTTGTCGGCGTCTGCAGTGGCAGCCCTCTTGAGGTCTAGGCACGATGGGTCTTGATCTTCGGCGTCGGCAGCTGGGTTAGTGGCTCTGTTGCTTCCATTTCCAATTATTGGTCAGTAGATTAACAAACAAATCAAAGATTACAGCCAAACTAAGAGCCAAGACCTCTTGGTCAGTACAAGTGGCAGCATGAAGACAAACACAAAAGAAGATAAAAGAGCAGAAGTCGCTCTCATAAACCCCTCCCCCCACAATTCATAATTGCAGGCATTTGAAAGACAATCTTTTGGAAACCATTAACCACAGAGGCCTAATTTTCCTTTCGTTTTTATTCCTTACCTATGTGACATCAGGAACCCACCATGTTCTTCCTCCAACACCACCAACCAACAGTGTCCTTTGGTGAGCTTATTTGATTCTGCTTGTTTTTTCCCTCAATTTCCTTTTTAGAGCATCTCCACCCACAAGGGCTAAGTCTAAGGCAAGGGCAAGCAAGGGCTGCAACTATTCACGTGAATAGTGTCAGCCTTTGCATTTGTGGTTCCACTCATGAGGGCAAAGTCTAAGGCAAATCAAGGGCAAGAAAAAAAAATATATGCAACAAAATATAAAATTGTTATGTATTTATAGGGAAAGTGAATAAAATTGTTATGTATTTATAGGGAAAATATCCATAATTTTTTGGTATTTTTTTTAAAAAAAATTGAATTTTTTATAATTTTTTTGAATTTTTTTTGCTCGCTGATGTCAGCATAACACCAGCGCTGACGTTAGCGCCCTCGGGCTGAAGCCCAGGCGAAAGTTGCCCTTGGGCCTGCCCGGACTGGTGGGACCCAGCCATTGCCCGAGCTCTTTTCTGCACGCTAGAGGGGAGTTGGGCTGCCAAGGGGGCCTTTTGCCCAGGTTTGGGTGAGCGCTGGACTTGCTCTTAGTAGGCCCCTGTGGTCAAGATTGAATGGGGTTGGTTTAGTCTATTCAGTGGAGGCAAGGTGTGACATCCCTGTTACATCTGTTGTATTTCATGTGGCTGGTCATGAGCTGGTCAGTATCACTGGCTGCCAAAAGAGAAACCTCCCCTGCCAGGACCGCACCGGCTACGATTCTGGCCAATTGCCTTGTGTTTGCACCGGGGGACTCTCTGTTCGCACCCTTCACACCCAGTAGGTTCAAGCAGGTTGACTGGGATGCAAATTAAGATTAGTTGTCCATATCAGTACTTTCATGCCTTTCTCAAACAAAGACTCAATTGGATTTTTTTTTTTTTTTTTTTTTTATTTTGTTTTTTTGTTGTTTTAGGGGTGGGTTTAGTATAATGAGGGAAATCACTAGTAATACCTTTTACTTTAAATGGGAAATTGGTGTTTAAAAAAAAAAATCTTATTTTTTTAATGGTTAAATAAATTTATTATTATTCTTGTACACATGGCACTTACGTGAAATGTATTTTAGCAAAACAATGGATCTCTTGATATATCAGGAGCTATTCCTTCTCCATAGCTGACGTGGCTTCCTTAAAAGGCCCCAAGAAATTCTTGATTTGCAGCATTGCAGACCTTGGCTGCAGTACTCTCTTTTCTTTTTTTGTATTAATTTTGTTCTAAAGGGTAAAATCGAAACCTAATGTCTAGCTGGAAAATAATTTAATTAGTGGAGGATAAAAAGACATGTGTCAATATAAGTGGAAGAATCACCAGTTAATTTGCAAGCTTCAATAATTGTGGAAGACGACATCTTGGTGGATATTAATTCTTCAGCAACTTCAAAAGAATGCATGCGTGTAACTTCAAAAGAATGCATGCGTGTATGGCTCTCTCTCTCTCTCTCTCTCTCTGTGCCCTCCACCCTTCCCTTGATGATGCTATGGCAACATCTCTCTGTTGTGTTGGCTTTAATTCTAACTTTTATCTTGATATGCTACTGCTACATCTGGTCCATGAGGTTGTGCCGGCTCGAATTCTGATGTGGTCGGATTTGGATGGGGCCGAGGACGGTTGTCACAAGTGAATACGTGAAGACGAATCTAACCATTTCATGCTTACCAAAATAAGAGAAACAAAAATCTGATTTAATTGCATGCAGGAAAGGAAGACAAGTTGAGAAAAGACTAATCTCTGATTTAATTCCTATGAAAATAGAATTCCGGTATTATAATACCAAGACTTATATATAGACTACTGACCTTAAAGATATATATATATATGTAATAGCTAGAAACCACGAAAAATAACAACAACCTAATCAAAAAAAAAAAAAAAAAAAAAAAAAAAAAAAAAAAAAAAAAAAAAAAGGAAAAAAAAAAAAGGCTTAACTTCCTCTCACTAATGGATGCTATGGGAGACCCTTAAAGTCTCCACTGCATATGTATTAATTCTCAAAGCTACCGGTCACCAAAGACTTATATTTGGATATCCAAGATTTCCACATCTAAAAGAGTATATAGCCTAGTGGATATGAGTCGTTATACAAAGAATGAGCCACTGGATGAGAGCAAGCTTTGGCCACAACGGTCGTAATTGATGCGAGAAAAAAACCAAAAATTGTGAGACTCTTGATTGATATATAGGCCAAGGTCTAGGGGCGTATGAGCTTTTATGTGCTTAAACTTGTCACATTGTATATGGAGACTAGACTAGAGAACTCCCTATCTCACGTTGTTTGAAAATTAGGGTAGGGCAACATTGTTTTGGTTACAAGGAGGGCCAAAGCCCAAGAAAAACCAGAAAGAAAAAAAACATACATTGGGACAAGCCTAGTAGTGGTCATCCTAACAGAATCATTTGCCAAGAGGCTTACAATAGGAGGGGGAAGATCAACAACATTATAACCCATATTGGAATGTTGACCCATATGTGCCATATGGTCAGCAACACTATTTTGTTATCCATAAATATGAGAAATGGAACAGTCCCAGTCACGCAAAAGCAAGTCTTTGCAACCATGGATGAGGCTAGAGAAAGGGTGACTAGGCCTAGTCTCTCCATTAATTAAAGAGACAATAGTAAAAGAGTCACACTCCACTTTAATTCTTTGGATACCTTCGTTCTATATATGTAAGGAGTAAACCCCTGAAAACACTCTATAATTCAGCTTCAAGGATTTTACCATACCCCAAATTTGTAACAAAGCCCTTAATCCATCCACCCGTAAAGTCCCTTATGATGCATCCAGCACTAATAGTTCCCATCTCACCCATACAACTGCCACATACATTTATTTTAAAATAGCCAACACATGGAGGAGACCAATGTAACTTGAGAATTTGTTTAGAAGCCTTAGTATTCTTGGAGCGATTAGCCACTAGCCACTCCCTAGTAAATTGAATGATTGGAATGTGGGGCCAATGAGGAGGAGTAAAGTTGTCGTCAAACACTTTTTTACAACGCCATTTCCAACAAAATCACAGGGAGGCTAAGAACAAAGAGGACCAAGGGATATCTTGCATGCAGCTAAAACTAGCCTTAATATTGATGAAAAACCAATCCTTAAAATCCATAGAGAAAGATGAGCAATTTGATTAGGAATTCCAATGGAATTCCACATTCCAGCCGCATGACTACACCTGCGAAAAAGATGGTCCAAAGACTCCATGGAAATGTTGCAACAAGGACAATTAGGATCATAAGCTAAGTTCCTTCTGACACGTTGGACATTGGTTAGGAGTTTACCTTGAAACAACAGCCAAACAAAGATTTTTATCTTAGGAGGACCATGCAACTTCCAAATAGTATCCCAATTCCAAGTATGATTAGTCTCTTCAGTAAACAAAGAGAGATAAGCAGTTTTAACTGAAAACTCACCATTGGAGGTATGGCATACAAGAATTCACATCACTATGATTAAAACCAGCATGAATATAATGAATTTTCTACACCACATCCAAGGGGAGACAAAAAAGAAGCCATTTAATCACTCACAATCCACTCAAGCAAATCATCAAAAAGGGAAATGGTGGCAAAGTTCTCAAGAGGCCCACAACCTGCCCAATTAGCTTTCCAAAACAAGATATTGTCACCATTTCCAACTCTCCATTTAAGCCCTTTATAGACAATTTGAGAACCGAATAGAATACATCTCCAAGTACTATAGCAATTAAGGAATTTGAGATTTGGGGCAGTAAGCAGACTTTGATCTTTCAAATACTTTCCATTAAGAACTTGAGACCAAAGAACCTGCTCATTTTGGACAATTTTCCAACCAGTCTTGACAAGCAAAGCCTAGTTTATACAATGGGTCTTTTTTATGTCTGGACCACCAAAGCTCTTGGGCTGACAAACAATGTCCAATTAACAAGGTGAATTTTAGTATCACCATTATAACCCCATTTGGGTAGGACAACATTTGATGTAAACACCATTTGGTATTTGGCACTTGATTTATTTTTCCTACTACATGTTTCACTTACCATTAAAAAAAGAAATAAAAACTGGAAACCCATTTGTGTTGAAATAAAAGTGAATATTTGGGCATAATATAGTAACAGCATATCATGATTCACGAGTAATGCATTAACGAAAACATTGTGCCTGTGTCAAGGAGAAATGAAGAATATAATCATGATAAGATATCAACCATAAAAAAGTGGTAAAGCGATTTCTGATTCTTCTATTGTAACTTGTGGAAATTGTGCCATGTCAGGTTTCATGCAAAAATAAGAAGCGCGCCAACCATGCATTTGGGGACCAACAATCACTTTCTCCGAAATGGAATTACAATTGGAGCAGCAAAAAAGTAGACTACAGCTTAGTCAAGAAAATGCAGATAATTCCATGTACCTGATTGCAAACTTGCAAAATGGGTTAAGGACCTGGATCTGGAATCTCTGTGTATTCTCAGATCCCGAGCCTTTGCATTTAGAGATGGTGCTGGATTATCATAAGGGTTTGGCATGGAGGGAGTAAAATCGGAGGGCTTTTGGGTTCCCTGCAATGAGGACGAAGGCGCATGTGTTTGACAAAAAGGACTGCTTTTTTTAGGTGTGGGATTTGCGAAGTATTGGGGTGGTTGGGTTGTCATCGATGAGTGTGATGGCGGAGTTGTTCGAAGAAAAGGATTTGTGTCTTTTTCTACTATGGGAGGAGTACAGAGGTTGGGATTATTCTTAGTTGGTGTTGTTCATTTTTGGCTGGAAGGATAATGGCAAACGTACAATATTGGTCTTCTTTCTTTTTGGTGTGAGTTTATTGGATAGAAGATTGCAATGGTTTTTGGTCTTCGGGAGACGTTATTTCTAACAAAGCAAATGGTAGACAACGAAGCTTTTATAAATACCCATTGATTGATGTTCTTGCTGGAAGCAAAAAATTCTGAGTATTGCATTGAATCACAATGCTTTCTGGGCGATGTTATTTTTCTGTCAAAGTGACTAACAGCGTTAGTTTTAAATAAAAAAGGCAACAAATTTATTGCAGCCGATGTGGCATACTCATAATTATTGGATTAGTTGAATGGTCCAGATTTTATGAAATGCGAATAAATGCACAATCTATAAATGCAGAGGCTCGGAATCTTGTATCCTCAATCCCTTTCTATCAAAGAAATGGAGACAAGGAAATATGGCAATAGAAACAAGAATGAATTGTTGGAGTATTTGTGACGTGGAATCTTCTGTATATTTTTTCATGAAATTACTTATTAATTTTCTTGAAATGTAGAAATTTACACTATTTTTCAAAAATTAATTATTTTTTATTTGTATTACTTTTTTTTTTTAAAAAAAAGCTTAAATATTAAAATGGTCCAGATTTTAGAGAAATTATAGAATGGTACAGTATCATCATGTCTGCAGGTGATACTTCCACTCATATATTGACATGTGTCTTTTTAAGCATCTACTAATTAAATTATTTTCCAGCTAGACATTAGGTATCAGTTTTACCCTTTAGAACTAAACTAAAAAATATATATATACAACTGCAGACCTATACCCCCTTGCTGCCGCCCCCTCCTCTTCTTCTCCTTCATCTCTCTCTCTCTCTGAATTACTTTATTTAATAGTTGGCGTTTATTGGATCATCTCTTGTCAAGGCCATGCGGGATTGAGAGCAAAGTTGGATAAAGAGAACTTGGATCTGGAGTTTTTGAGGGAGATGAAGGCAACCTAGATGAGGAGATTGAAGGATTGGGGAAAGGAATACAAATAGGGAGGGAGGGCGCTGCAGAGGGAG